ACTAGGAGGACATGTAGATAGTCAAAGCAGACAAGTGTGTAGAGTCGTTATTCACCAGTTCAATTGAGTTGTCATTCCAAAACCCCATGGAGTTTCATTTTAAACGTTAACAGCGATGGACCACCTCTAGACCCAAAAATCCATGCACTCATGAATATAGCTAGCAACTGTGATGGGCACATCTCCCAGAGGACATCTAAGATATTTGTGGTCATTCTTGTTTGGATGTGCAGGTTTTGAAATGAAGGGGCAATGACAAATGTTGTCGGTATCCTCTTGTGATTCATAATTTTATTCAGCATTAGCGGCAACTTGTCAGCATTTGGTTGATTACCTCAGTTTGGGACTTCAAAGGTCTACTTCGAGAGAGGCGGAACAGTGGGTGCCAAATGCAATAGTTTGTGTATTAGTTAATCACACTGGTGATGTGGATAAAATGGAGCCACTAAGACAAACAATAACGCAGGTTGACACCGTTGAATAGTGTACTCTGTCAACTATGTTTGGGTGGTATGGTAGTGTGTGTATCGTGTCATAGCTGCACTGATTCAGGGCGTCTACACCACTTATATAATTACTACTACCGACATGTAAGTATTACCTCATTTTAGATAGATACTTTCAAACATCGCTTCTGAGTAGCTGGAAAATTTCACTCGAAATTTTATAGCTTTATGGGTTGACATCTAGGGTTGAAATGAATGGCTTAGTAGCAGAAATGCACTCTTCAGAGAGAGACCGACCTTATCTATTGAGCAGTTACTAATATGAAAAGAAAAACCGACAGAGAGGAACACTTTCATTTGATTGTCTCAGATAACCATTCTGGAGGTCGACATATTTTTTGTATTTCTGGCCTTCGTGACAGTCAGTTTGATGATAGTGAAGAGAATGGGTGTCCTGATGACGCTAGTGATGAGGAAACTTCCACTGGCGCCGCCCATTTGGGTAATAGTAAGGATATCAGCGTAATCACTGTTCTTAGCGATGTTGTTGAAAGGACATGGGTACATTGAAAACAAGAGTACGGTTACATTCATTCCTCGCCTTCGAGCTGTTAAGTGGAACGGACCCTGATTCTAGCCCAAGACTTACCAGTTGTATGCAAGGATAGCTGAAGCTGTCGTACGATTTTCATAAAGGAAACTACTCACAAGGTTGCTGAAAACTCTTTGACAGCGTACGATTATTCTTTTTTTGTGGCTTCATGCTCTAGTTTTCCAAAGTACGGAGAAGTATGTGAATCTTTCCAAGCTCATTTGCTATGTGGACCGATTAGTTAAGCCACATCAAAAGATAATGTTTGTCAGTCAAGAGCAATGCAAACCAACGGTTTTGGGCTGTTTACTCCTAAGTTCCATCTAAAGACCAAACAACTCTTCTCACTTGGAGGTCGTACTTGTCATTGTCAGTGAAAACACTACCCCCCAAAATAGTGCTACCAGTCTGGCATCAGCTTTACAGTCTCTTTTAGTAGTGACATACCCGATTCACTATCATTATTTATGCTAATGAAGAAATTGCGAAAATCGTGGGCTTTCGAATTTGACCTTTCACGCAAAACAACCACAAGCGTTCGATGGAGTTTGCCTTCTGGACTGAGTATTCAAGAGGGTAAAGAACTGTTTTGGCTTAATTTAAAGTTAAACTGCTGAGTAACTCAGCGGTCTTCGTAGGGTGTGTTGAATTAATCTGCATTCGTCTGCTTATTTTGAAATAGTTTTTTGAAGCATCTTCAATAGAATGTCCGCCCGTATTCAACTTTATCCTGGGACAAAAGTGTTAGACTTCAAATTCGGCACATCACAGGATCATTATTGGAAGAGGCTGGGAACCCTACAGGATTTGGCATGCAACAGATACCACTGGCCAGCATGCATTCATATCCCTCGGATGCTTACCTATGTTTGTCACTGTACACCGGGTTTATATTGGGTAAGGTCTTTCGCGGATGAAGGGTTCATCCAGCTAATATGGCCTTCTTCAGATATGATGCCAGCAAGTGTTCACTGAAGGTGCAGCGCCTTCTTGCTATCCTCCCCCAAACAATGTCAACATTTTTTGAGATTGACTAAAACACTTACTGTTTCATTAGTTACTTACCAGATTGTTTTTATCCACTGTCATGTAGCTCTAATCGTCGATGTGCATTAACAGAACAATGCAGTGGATGATGACTTTATATCCACTCGGATGCAAAACATTTTTCAATGACGCAATTGGTGAAAAATGTGTGCAATAATCCACAGTAAAACAAATGTCAACATCCTATTCGAGAGGTTAAGGTGAAGTATTTTGGTGGATGGTAAATCTGCGTTCCTGAACACATTCTTCACCCGACCTAAAGCTGCCACCTTAACGTGGTGGTCGGGCTTGAGTGCTGCAATGGTCCCACGGGCTACACTGACTGGAACTTCGTTCCGCAAGGTACAACCATGCCAGGAAGGCCAAAGGGGAGCAACCAGACCAAGAGAAGCGAGACCACGCACTACGAGTAACCGTACTACGAGGCGGTCTGGGGGTAAACTCGTGCCGTCCTCTGCGGCAGGAGTGTGAAGGCAGTAAGGCGTTTCCCCTAGGAGACCAGCATATCCCTATTTATGGAAGCAGCGATGCTGCCTTCCCCCGAAGATGGACGGGTTAGAAAAGGTCGGCCCCAAAATCCGCACACTCCGGTCGCCCAACGGTTGACCGTGACCACCGGCGCATTATCCAATACGGTCGAAATACCTTTAAAGCCAAAAAGCCCAGTGCTGTTCAAAAGGCACACGCATTGCGCAGCCGCATTAGGAATGAGACAGTAATGCCTTATTCCATGGGCCCTCGGGTTAGGCCGAGGGCCGAGCAGGTCAGACTGTTGAGTCGTCGACCCCGGGTAGGGTCCCCAAAGTAAAAACCTACATTCTCCCACTGCCTCGTGGGTCAGACTTTTGAGTCAGGGGCTAGGGTCAGGGTCCCCGAACAAAACCCTACGTCATCCCACTGCATTGTGGGTCAGACTGTTAAGTCGAAGGCTCAAGTTGGGGTACCTCAACCAAACGCCCTTCCTCGGCCTGGGCAACCGGGAAGTATCATTTGCCCGCGAAGTTCAGCGTCCACCGATGTCCCTTCCCAACCCCTTCCAACCGCCTAAGCAAACGTCGCTGGGCCATTTGACTGTCAGTCATCTGACCGAAGGGCTTTATGCTCCTCACTGCCTACAAACATTAAACAAAATAACACCTTTCTAAATCCACGAGATCCTTTCTATATAGGAGCTTTTAACGTCCGTACTCTATGTCAAATTGGCAAACAGACAGTGCTCACTGAAACCTTGTACTCCCTTAAAGTCGATGTATGCTGTGTCTGCGAAACACGCATACGAGACCCGAGCGTGGTTCTGCATCTCAAAACGCCAAGAACGAACTCAGCTCTGTCACACCTATCCCTCCGTGTGTGCGGTGACCCAGAAGCGATGACTCGTGGGATATATGGCATGGGAGTTGCACTCAGTCCCAGAGCTGAACACGCTTTGCTGGATTGGATCCCGGTGAACAGTCGTCTCTGCGCCGTCCGGTTATCCAGTTCAATCAAGTTTAATGCTTCCCGGCATAAAAAGCGGTGCCTGTTTGTCGTGTCGGCTTGTGCCCCAACGGACTGTAGTTCTGATGCGGAGAAGGATACTTTCTATCGAGAGCTATCCGGGCTCATTCGTCAGGCAAAAGCACCGACATTGTGATCCTCGCAGGCGATTTGAATGCTCAAGTAGGTCGTCTGAGCTCCTTGGAATCACATTTGGGTGGTCGATTCGGAGTCGATGCTCGCCGCACAGACAACGGAGATGGACTCCTTCAGTTGTGTGCTGATCACGAACTGTTTCTGGCAAATACGAACTTTCAACATAGATGTTCGCACCGCGTAACCTGGCGGCCACCAACTGCAAATCAACCGTGGACCCAGTTGGACCATGTGGCCATCAGCTACCGGTGGAGAGCCACAATTCAAAACTGCCGTTCCTTCTGTGGCACACCACTTGATTCCGATCACGCCATGGTGTGTGCACACCTGACAGTTCGTTTCCCTTCAAGTCCTCGCAAGTCGGAAAGAAGCATGCCAATCCGCTGTCTTCGGAGAACGATTGTAGCTCAACAGTATCGATCTGAGCTAGCCCAACAAACAGTAATGTGGTGGCAGGGAACGTGTGGATGAAGCGTGGCAAAATGTGAAACGAGCTATACTAGCGGCGTTCAGTGCTGCCTGCCCGACTTTTCCAATTCGACCAGAAGCCCACTGGATGTCGTCGAGGTCGTTTTCTATCATTGATGCCAGGAAAGCCATACCAGCAGGCAACGAGTACGACGGTGCACGCAAATCCCTCAAACGCCAAACAGTGAAGAGTCTAAGAAAAGACCGAGAGCTCTGGTGGACATCGAAAGCTCGGGAGATGGAGAAGGCTTTTGCTACGTGCCCTTTATCAACTGATACGATCGACTCGCTCTAGAAAAGCAAAGGTCAGCGAAAGGATAAGCGAAAAAGACGGCTCAATAATTCACTTGAAAAAACGTCGACTGGAGAATGGACCGACCACTTCGAAGATTAGTTCAGCTGGCCCCCTGCAACACAGCCGCTAGAGATAATGCATACGGGCGAATGGAATGTAAACCTTGATTGCCCTTCAGAAGAACAAATAAGGTACGAAATAGCCGCACTGAAACGTGAGAAGGCACGAGGACCTGACGGTCTGTATCCAGCCCTCTTCAAAGAAGGCGGAAAATCTCTGGTGACCCACCTGACAAAGCTTATTGGTGCTATATGGGACGAAGAGAAAGTGCCCGAACAGAGAGAGAGGCAGATCCGTGAAAACCAAGCTTGGTTCCGTCCTTCAAGAGGTTGCATCGATCATATCTTCACCCTCCGACAGATTCTGGAACAGCGACACTGCTTCTAGCAACCAACAATGGTTGCGTTTCTTGATCTGAAAGCTGCCTTCGACTCTGTGGACCGCCAAGCACTATGGCACTATGACCATCGATGTCTTCGGAGCATCGCCCGAATCTGGTGGGAACACCGGATCAGCAATTCTGAAGTACGTCGAATGGTATTCGGGAGAAATAACTCACCCTCGATAGATGAACTGATCACACTGCACAGGTTGCGCTGGCTTGGCCACGTGTCGCGATGCCAGTCGACCGACTTTCTCGAAGGGCTCTTTTCGCACAACCACGTGAAGGGTGGAAGAGAGCCAGAGGCGGCCAAACACTGACTTGGTAGCGAAGTATGAAAGCCCTTACCAGCAAACTCAGCTGCGCTGGTCACTGTCGTCTTCTTGAATGGGGACCCCGAGACGGGCCACAATAACGGCTAGAGACATTTTCAGATATGGCCCAGTCGCGCCCTTAATGGCGCTGGCGCATCCAAGCTATTGCCTTCAATGCATAGCTCCTTTTCCAACCCTCCCCCCAGTTAACAGCCCAGTGACAGTACTGGATTTATGCACCAATTTCTCAGCTACCGCCTGCAATGCGCAGCTACATCCGCCTCCTCCCAAATCATCGGTGAACGAAACTGCGGCAGCTACAACCACTGTACGATGAGTACACGGTCATTATAGCTGACGATGATGATGATGACACATTCTTCATCCTGTCGCAAGCCTGTTCCAAGGGACCAGTAGGGTCGAATGGTTGATGCAACAAAGTAAACTATAGTATTTAAGTAAAAGCCATCACTGGTTTAACAACGCGACTGGTGAAACTGCTGCCCGGTAATCCAACATCCTCCGGTGTGCAAGCTTCACGTCAAATGTGTCCAGCAGAGCACCAATTATAACAATGGTCATTATTACCGCAACTCCGTAACGACATCACTTAAAATGAAACCAAGTACCGCCTAGTTGAATCAGTGTTAGGAATGCGGAAGTGAGCTAGGGCCGTGCGCGAACTAAAGTCCTATTGTGTAATATCTACCCAATAACATTCACGTGTTTTTAGATATCGTAGGCTTGGATTCTGTGATATAAGATAGGGCGTCTACCATAAATTCCTAGGCTGTAAGTCCTCGTTACACTGTGAAGATGTGAGATAGTCTGTAGGACAGAAAGGGCAAGTTATCTTTAAAAAAATAGCAAAATTTAAATCCTCAGTATCCTAACGATCAATGTTATGATCCAAACACAGTGAGACAAGGTTTGTAAACAAACAGATTGGTCATGCAAATCATTTTGATGATGAGATAGTGAGTTGCACTTTTAATTCTCGCACTTTTTTCACTTTCTTGAATAAAGTTTCCAGGTTTACGCTGCTTACCTTAGCTGGAAAATGCACTAATTATCTAAGGGATGTATCAGAAACGTTTGTATGCATTGTACGCATAGTACTTGTAAAAGTGCTTGTTGTAAATGGATTACAGTTGTGTGTTACCTTGGTGTCAAGATTGCAGATGTTAATTTGATGAGGGAGTAGACATTCAGTTTTGGAAAGAATTAACCGATCCACTTTAGACATAGACTAATCAAAATCAAGCAAGATGACTGCACAGCTGGCAACAAAGTTCATTTTTCTCAGTGTAAAGGCTAGTATAAGAAACATTGGATCGCACCCACTGGTGGGGATGTTTATAAGGGTGTTAATTATCTTCCTTTCTTGAATATCAGACTTAGACGATAGGACAGTGGAGTAGATTGAAGGACACATGCCACAGTGCATGGGAAAAACACAGTTGTCAGTAAGCGGAATGGACCATCTTTCAGGGGGAGATGTACCAGCCACGACAAAGACGCAGAACGGCCGCGTAAGAAAGAAGACATCACCTCGAGAAAATCTATGTGGATTCTTAATTTTCAGGAATGTTAAGTGAGAGCCAAAATTGCGTAGTTGGTTGTCCGAAAATGTTTTCTTCCGAACACAGCAGACCATGCAAAGGGAACTGATTGGCACCAAACTTTTTCGAAAACGGGGAACAATTGTTTATTCCATTTCACACATACTATTTTAACACCTGATGCACGGCTCAAATTGAAATCAAACTAGACGGCTTCGGTCCAACTGGTAGCATATTCAACCATCACGGTAATCGACTGTCTGATCCCAGCTTAAGTGGGCTGAAATAAGACTGCCCAATTGCGAAGTTAGGTTATCTCAAGATTTTGTCTAGACATGTTCTAGGTTATGCAGCCTCTGTGGCGATGATTCACCTACGGCGTGTGAGTTCCAACCTCGCGGCAATTACTGGCGCCACCTACTTTCGTGAAGAATAATTTTTGTAGTCATAAGATTTGTGAGGAGGAAGTGACTTAGAGCAAGCTACGTGTATTTTATGTAATTCTAAGTTTGCTGGTGAATCGAACAATGAAATGCCGGAATTGTTTTCCTTACGGGGGACGTTGAAGTCGCAGTCATAGACAAAATCAATTTTCATTCCTCCCCATCTACTTTATTGTTTCGTCACGCTTGAACACGTGCGATGGGGGGGCGTCATCCGAGGTAACCCAGGTAGTGAGGCTTGAATGTTATCCAAAGGCTCCGCTTTGGATTTTGCATGTTCACAACGAAGACGTTTCCCCAAGTTGATCCTAATAAAATAAAACATACATGTTGACAATGCCGCTAATATATCGACTATCTGGATTGAATTAGCGTTACATTAAAAAATTCAGCTAAAGCAACAATGGCTATCATATAGATAAAACGTTCAGTTCACTGCATCAAACTAATTGATGAGCTGAGTAGGCTACGGTTGGCTGGTCAAAGACTACATTTTTTATATTTTGTCAGGATAAATGGGGGACTTTTCATTCATCGGTAAATTAATTCCATAAATCGCCTCCCCAATAAGGCGTAAGAGCACCTGGAAACTTAATGAACTTATCCAAATTGTAGCAAATGTATTCCAAACATATCCAGTAGTGACAATTCTAAGGAAGGAAAAGAGACGCGTGTGGGAACAGGATCCCGTCAATTTACCTACAAAGTTTGATAAGATAAATAAATAACAAAGTAGAAAAACAAATAGATACCCAGGTAGACAGATGGGTATATATATGTATATATTAGTTGAATTGTTCCCCTACGTTACATGAGGTACAGTGGTAATTTAAAATGCGCTTGCGGGTATGGAATTTAGCTGGAATCTCACTTCGTGTAAAATGGCTGTTGTTGAAACACCACCGAACGTAAGAGACTTATGAAGATTTTAAAAGGTCATAAGCTTCTCAGAAGGGGTCTCTTTCTGAAAAATCCCACCTCAGAACTAAAGATTCCAACAGGTGTAAGTTAAATTTGACTCATGAAATATTAACTCAGCCTACAAGACAAATCAGTATGTATTCCAACCACTGTCACATAGTGGTGTACTCTGATGCCACTCTGAAAGGACAGAACACACTTGTGTGGTTCCAATACTTTTGCTGGCGAGTATGGAGCAGTGAAACGCAGGCAGATATTGATGTGGATCGATAACAGATGTTTGTGTTTGTCGCCATGTCACGTGTCCACGAACCGCCAGTGTGAACATTATGACAATCAGGGGGCATCGTCGTGTTCAGGGCTTAAACCTATTCAACTGCATCGCAAATCACGTGTGATGGTCTGTGATGTGAGTAATTTTTTAGACATTACTTCATAATACTCGTCAGTCGCAATCGCGAGCCCAGGGTAACTTTTACGTCGGGACGCATAAATCTTATGTAAAGATCTGTCTCACCGTATGCTGAACAAAGTGAGCATATACGAAGCTTTTTCAAAATAGAGGACTATTTCTTCTTCAGTTATCGGGAATCATTGTTGAGCATGAGAGCACGAGAGTAACTGCGAAAAATCTTGTATGATGAGATCCAGTTATACCTTGTGGAGAGAACCGTACGGAATTGCAACCATTTAGGCAGGACTACTCCTATGATGGTTTAAGTTACACCCTAACTTGTGTTGTCTTGAGGGGACTCCAGTTAAAATGTATATCTGACTGAGCTGTGCTTGTGTGGCGCGCACCTCTAAAGTTGACAAAATCGTCGGTCTAAAAAGTCTCATTGATGCAATCTGGACAAAACTATTGGTCAACTTTTTATACGGAGTGAATAGGTTTAGAAATGAAGCAGGAGTATGGGCTCAATACAGTGGAGTAAATAGTCACCAGTAGTGTTTATCTCCTAGGGCAGGAGACCGGTCACCTATTCAGTCTTCCATACACGCACCCTATTGATCGAGTTTAATTGAATACAACTTGGCGGAGGTGCTAGTTATCAAGCACGTACACCACGTTTGATTAGGCTACATCAAGGAAGAAGCAACTGCATACACTTTTTGCTTGTTACCTTTTCGGAACGCTCGTTTCTTAGGAAAATAACCGTAAGGTAGTACCGAAATAAACACAGTAATGTGAATGTCAGGGAAAATGGCTACAAAATCTTCATTTCGTGCTGTGGTAGAGAGAGTTAGACAATAGGTTTTATGTGGCACGGTTCTCGAGTAAACTTCAGGTTTATATACCCGGATATTGCGGGCTAGAAGCTGAAATAACTTTGTAGGTTACCATTTGCCTCACCCATAATCTGACAATAGAGCGAGAAGCTGCAGTGAGTATAAGCGGCTTCCATTTGTTAGCCATTAGTAAGATACAAGCACGTGAACTACCAGGACCTGCAACAGACAGAAAATCTAGTTAAACGCCTTGCCGCAAGCCAGGTCACTCAAGATGTATGAGACGGCCTCCTTACAGAAATGTTGTATCCGGGCAACACATCAAAGAATAGGGAGATTGCGATGACTCTCAGATTTTACATGGTGGAAAAAGAATCCATGTTTAGGAGACAACTACCTAAGAACCACTAATGGGAGTGATGTGACTCAACCTTTTCCCGGCATAGTGTCCTTTATGCCAACAAAAATCTTCCTTCCAATCCAAGGCATAACATCTGAGCACGAACACCCCGGAAGTGGTCGATATTTTCATCTGTTACTCTGACCTTATTTCACTTGATGAATACAGCAAAATAGACCGCGTTTCGCAAAGATGAAACAAACCAGGACATGGTAAGTGATTTCAATTTATTGGTAAGTTTGGTGTGTCAGTAGCAAAATGATGACAGATTATACACAGCGACGTCTTCTACACAGAACAGTTTGTTCCCCCCTGGAAAGAGCAAGGTTTTAGCGAACTAGGGGATAACAACTGAAAAGTTGCAAAGACACAATTCGCCAGCGTTACTCTGACTTATTTCACTTGAATACAGCAAAATAGACCGCGTTTCGCAAAGATGAAACAAACCAGGACATGGTAAGTGATTTCAATTTATTGGTAAGTTTGGTGTGTCAGTAGCAAAATGATGACAGATTATACACAGCGACGTCTTCTACACAGAACAGTTTGTTCCCCCCTGGAAAGAGCAAGGTTTTAGCGAACTAGGGGATAACAACTGAAAAGTTGCAAAGACACAATTCGCCAGCTACTGTCAGGTACGGCAAACCATTCAGAGCATGGAATGCATAAGGAACTTATTGGATAATGACTCAAGTAACCGAATGAAGATACATCATGCAAATTGTGAGTTTTCTAGAAACTAGAGGGCATCATCTGATAGTGGTTTGTTGAATCTGTGACAAAACTCTAGCTGCTCTGCATATCCCAATATTTCTGGAATACTACTACACTTTGAATTTACCATCCTGCCCAAAAATATGTCGATGTCTATCTGTGTATATCCCAGTGGTGGCTGAAGAACAAAGTCTTCATGTTCTCATTATCTTCTGGTCTCGTTCTGAGTATTATTTTCGTGTGGAAGAAACTAAATTTGGAGACAGCATTGGTGGTGACCTTTTTTGTGGGAAGATGGAGTACTGTATAAGCAAAAGGACAAGTAGAACAAAACGACTTAACATGCTTGGAGAAATGATACCTGAGTGCAGTACTGGAACGGCGTTTATGCTTGTGAGTGAGTTGCTGGAAGTCACGCTTTCCTGGAATTCCTCAGTTTTTTCAACTGACAGCTTACTGATTCCTGCTTGGAACGTAAAACAGAAACACCCTTACCAGTAGTTGTACGCGCTAAGTTGTAAAGGTTTAACTCCAGTGGCTTGAACAAACTCCGGAAAATGAGGTCATCAAGGCGTCTAGGATTAAAAGGTCATATTAATTGCGGCTAAACTAGCCCAGTCTATGAATGGATTTACTAAATATCAATGAAAATGGGATTAATAATTCCGGTACTATTCGAATCTTACCCTGTTGCTTTGACCTTATCCTGTTTAGCCAATGAGACTCACCTGTGTTTCCATTATAAAGTAGTATTTTCGAACTCTCTGTTGGGGCCTATGGTGGTAGGTATGGTACCGACTAGTGTAATTGTATTCATATATTTTCGGTCAGTGTACAGTCCGTTTGGCTGTATTTTCCAAAGTCACGCAACAACGCGTTTGTACTAAGAGAACCAGAATTAGAGGAATTATCAAAACTGGGAGAAGTTGATAGGTTCTCTGTGAACGTCATAGTCTACAAAGAACATAATCAAAACACTGGAAGCCTACTGCAATTTAATCCTTAGATTCCAAATGGAGTATTGCAGAACTTGGAGTGCTACCGCTGGGTGAGAAAAATCGATAAGCCGTGTCTGAATCATGATTGCGAACAATGTGTATTTTTATTAACTTACCCTGGAAGTGCAACCGGACAATCCTGAGGTTGTTTGTGGTGATCTGAATTTCCGCACAAAAAATGAAACCCATCTAACTTCGAGTTAACCGAAGAGAAGATAAAATGTGGAGAGAAATGCTACTGCAACGATGGCAAGCCCTATCCATGCCAGTCAAACCATCATTTCTGGGCGGTGACTCATTTAAACTGGCCGTAATTATCGGTCACATTGGATCATTTCGAGCATGAGACTTACCAAGGTCAAAATGGTCCAGGAATTATTTGATGTGTTGCTGGTTCCAACAACTCAGTCACCGTTTCATTGGTTGTTTAATTACCTATGTATCTTATTTCTACATAGTTGGCTTCTGTATCTCTGAAACTTCCGTGTGCGGTTTAGTATGTCCCGAACGTTAAATTTGGGGGTGTTGAAGTCATCCAGTAACAGTTCTGCCGAGGCATCATTATAAGGCTTACAAATTACCGTCTTGGCTACTTCAACTTCAGTGCCTTTTCATCAGGCAGGGTTTGGCAAATCCTTAGCTTTGCTAATCATCTAAAACATAAACCTACCTTTCAGAGTATTATTTAAGCTGATGTATAACCTCGAAATTTGTGCACCAGAGTACTTCTCCAGTGTCACTTTCTGAGTTTTAGCTCGCAAAACCAAATAAGCGATAAAATCAGCTTATTCAGGTGATGCTGTTTCGATGACTTTTATTTGAACATAAAGCAACGTTACCCTAGTCTATTTTCTGGTTGTTCAAACGTCTGCCCAGAGGCAGAACTTAATTTGGTCAGCGTATTGTGCTAAAGTAGCGGGGGGTAAGATCACCTTTTCTGGCAGCATCCTGTAATCCCTCCTATTGTCTAATCCTTGTGGATTTGAAAAGTTTCACTGGACGGTTTGCGGAATGTTCTAGCACTTCCACAGCTTACGCTTCAATACGGTCAGGGGGACTGAAAACCGACACTGAATCAACAGCGATGAAAAGATTAATCATTGGATACGATAACTATCCCAACTCAATGGCTATTTTGAGTGTAAATACGCCTGCCCTCTAGGAAGAGTAGCTAATATTTCAAATAATCCCAGAGCCACAATTTCCTGTGATTTTTTACACTAGCTTTCCTTTCTAAATATAAGCAACGGGCATGCAAGTATGCTTCATACTTTCATCTATGGTCAGGTACTTTGTGTTTTTCAGTGATGATGTGAGTTTGTCTTTCTTGTAGCTAGAATTCAGCTTCTTAATAAAGCTATCTGTGGTTCAAATGGACCAATCGTAATCTCATGAAACAAATTCATCAGCATCACTTCAAGTTCCCTCATTTCCCGGAAAAAATATGAGGAGTAAAATCGCAGTCGTAGTTTCTTTTTCGCAGCTGTGTTTAAGGACGGTGTGCAAGTTCCACTTTTAAAAAAATGCACTTGATCTGTTCTGTTGCGGTAATGTAGCGGAGGATATGTAGACAAATTGGCTCACAATCATTTATTAGAGATGACCTCTGGAGAGATAACTCTCTGGATTTGGTCTGTTTGTCGGTGATAAGGGTGATGATTTTTACTGGTTCGTTATAGAGAGCGTTGGTTATAGCCAGCAGTTAGCGGCTATATATGTAGGGTATTTAATTTTGATTTTTGCCACTTACTTCGTTCTGAGCGTGACAACTTTGTTACAAGGTCATTATTGACCACTAAGCTGGGCTGTGTATTCCATTGTTGATATCCTTTTGATGTGTCATGTCCCGTTGTCCCCATTCATACACCTTAGAAGCCTTAAGGTGAGCGGGTTTGGTGGTAAGGTCTTTAGGGACCAAACACCACAGAGTTATGTCAGTGCCTTTATGGCGCTTTCATTCATTGCTTAACCCAGTCATCAAGCACCCTTTCAGTAGCATAAAAGCTACTGTCTGATTGGGTGAAGTTCACTTGCATACGGCAAACGACAATGCCTTAGTAACTGTCCTACCGAATGTACAAACTATAGTATTCATCTCCATCAAGTCGATACAAAGCTGAGAAGATGCAAACGCTTAGTCAAATAAATTGCATTTGTAACTGCTCACTGTTTCTTAGGCTTGAGAAAGTCAACAAATATCCGCATTGCTTGGACTCGTTAGGAAAGACAGTAATTATGTACAGAGTTAGGAAGAGAATGAGAGTAAGCAGTCCATCGTGCACGTACGCACGCACAAGTACAGGCGCTGGCGTGTGACGAAAAACTCTACGCGCCCGAAAAGTAAAGAGGTACAAACAAGTGAGTGCATAAAATTGAAGAGAGGCAGAGACGGCGCCAATGAAGTGGAAGAGAACCGGTGAAATCTCCCAAAATGGGGCAATGTGTGTAGAGTAAACTGGATGGCATTCAGCTAACCAGACCACAGGGGGGCGAACGCGATTGGGACGAAATTCTGCTGCAGTTATGGCATTGTGACTCACGAGAAGCGCGTTTCACTGAAAATTTACAGCATGTACTTCACGGGTGCAAATCAGAGGTTGTGTAAGGTACGCGGAATGCAATAGGTTAGTTGTCATGGTGACGGGTCAGCTGAGGGTTACAGGTCTGGGCGGGACATAGAGGAAGTCAGGCCAAAGGCATTAGCGTCCCGAAGATGTAGAATTGGACAGATTATGTGAAAAAAGATGGACGTCTTTCAGGAAGACCATACTTACAGTACTGCCTCAAAGTAAATGTTGTTAAAAAATTGCAGGGTTTGCAGTTGCTTGTTTGGAACAACCAACCACTGATATTTCAGCTGGTACCAACTCAAAGAAGTGATTTTGGAAGTTCATTCGTAAACCTTGCAGCCTCGTCCGGAAACGGACAAGATTATGCGTGCAGAAAAAGTACGTAACAAATCTGTCGGGTTAAAATCCTCAGTTACTCTCGGTGCACCCAGTTGATCAAACCTGGTCTGCACGCATGCACATCAGCACGCGTACGCACATACACCGGATAAAAAAAAGAAACAAAACGTGAAGGAGGATGACAGAATGAAAAGAAGGCATTAAGAAGGATTAGTAATGGCGTTTGTAGGAAATGGAAGTGACTGACCGTTTCGAAGAGTAACAAAATCAAACTTGACCGAATGCAGCTGACTTTGGCTCATGGCATTGTTGCTGTTCCCGTAGCAGATATGTCTGCCCAAAGGAATATCACATAAAAATCTCGACAATAGAAAAACAAGACGGGCATTTGCAGGGAGAGATAAGAGAAACTGATATCTGGTTTTCTTGCATTGGCGGTAAGTTATTGCATCTATGTACGAAGCAAGATGCTAGTTGGCTAGCAGACCAATGGGTTTCTGGTTGTGGGCAATGGGGTTGTACAAGCCAGGGACAGTGCAAACTGAATGACCGGGTTGTGAACACTGGGAATAAGGCGGAAGACCGGTAGCTGTCCCAAACTCAGGTGCAACGAGTAAGTTTGTAGATATGGTGTTGTGGGCCACAACCCTCTTGTGCCACTTCCAACACGTAAGCTATACACAGCAGTAGTTCGTTGGTCAGTTTGTTTGTTAGAATCTGTTTAAATAACAAAGCCGGAAAGAAGTCTGGTTAGCTATACAGAAAAAACAGTGCGGTTTCAGTGGAGAAACCTTATGCAATACAATAATCAACCGAAAAATAATTGGGTTTGAATAAATATGTGAAGATAGCTGCACGCAAACAGTTATGCATCATTTTGAGTGAAACTTAGAATAATGTTGGCTGTGTTCCTTATGCGTGTGGTTTTCTCTCAGGCTTCATAAACTCGTATATGATGGCCATGACCGAAGGAAATTCCCGCTTTAAAAGCAATCTGTCCAATACCATCAGAACAGCTAGAAAGGTAACAATAGTGAGACAACCAGTTATTTAGCCAGCCACATCAATAAGGCCGTAAAATCCCTACAAGCGTAGAAGAAAACTGCCGAAGGACTGCTTCTGGCCGAAGCTTCTCTTTACTTCCCGATTAGCTGCAAGTGTCGTTAGGTGAAAGGATTCAGTTTTTAACTTCACCAATCATTCGATCATTTATGACTAAAAACAGTAGTTCCATTCAGGGGTCCCCAAGGTCTTATAAGTGGGGTTGAAGTAGTTATTAACTTGTCGTTGTAAAATATTTGTGAAGTGTGCACCAAATCTCATCCCTGTTTACTGTGATCTTCAGGCACAAGATCAAGTAAAAAAACAGTACCAACACAAGTAATGGCTATATTTTCTGATCCAACACAATTTAGCACTCATTCATCAAGTGCAGTGTCCGTACATCATCACAAGCGGAATTTTTAAACACCTCGAAATATTATGGCCAACTTTGAAGGTTAGTTAAAAATTCCGGTTGGTATGAGTAGCAGCCCATGTCCTTTGGCTAAAATGCATTGAGAATAACTGCAGTTGATCGGCTGCGATCAGTCTTGTTCTACTCAGTGTCGGGGACTGCATTCTTGATGGCCAGGTCTACGGGGACACTTTAGTATCGTGGAACATTTTGGCGGTTAAGTACCATGAAATACGTGCGTATAGTGGCCGTATCAAAGGTGATTCCGCACGTTCAAAGTACATTTTAGTGACCCTGTCGTCATCTCTGTCTGATGGACGAAAGTCCGAGCAAGTTGGCAGAATTTCGGTTCTCTATATTGCTGCATCTCAAGACTTCATGCATGCTAACACAGAAGATGGAAAATTCCAAACCGGGATTCGGGATTCACTACAAATACTGGATATATGGTCAGTGTCACAGTCTGCTTCAAAAACACCGGTTGTTGTTGGTGGTATCACCAAGTTATGTTGCAAATGGCACGTTGTGCGTAAATGACAAACATTATCTTTAGGTACTTTTGATCATTTGTTTTTCTGGCATCATTTTTAAATAGATGCTTGTTTTCAGTACACATGAATTTTGGACTGCATTTGCACACGTAGCGGTTTGAACTTTTACTGTAAGCCTACCATCAATAACATTCAATAATAGTGGAATGACTGTGAGGGATGTATGTAATGAACGATTTCGCTGCAGATGATCTACTCATGAGGGTATTCGAAATTCTGTATTGTACCCACATTTCCTGTAATTATGTAACATGCAATTTCCGGTGCTTAACGGAGCTATACATTACCAGTTACCCGATTGAGCGAAACGATATACTCAGTATTGCTGCATCCCCTATACTCATCTCTGTTTAACCTATGTAGTTCCAGTCCCCCTTAGACAGTGTTTATTCTACCAACCCTAAATTACGTGTTACATGTTAGTTTAACCTTTTTGAAATATCTGTTTGTAAACGTACCAATGGGCCCGTGTAATATTCTACTTATCATAAGGGCACGTGGACTGGTTCCTACATACGTGTTTTAACTCCAGCAGCGGGTTAGTATGGAATCTATTCTACAGGTCGAGAGGAATATGCAGCCTTGGTCAGCTAAGGTGAGACGAGGAATTTTAGGAGACAGCCTCGCTAGAGGCTACTCAAGTGATTAATTCAGATGCAAAGTAGGCAGAGTACGAACAACACAGTTAACTCCGGTTAATTCAACTAAGGAGAAATTCACAATGACTTCTACTTGAATAAATCAATATAAAATGCAAACATATCACACCTTTGGTGGACGTTTATACTACATCCCAACTTCGTCTGATGTAGAAGAACATGTAAACGTTGACCTGAATTGCCTTTCGTGTATTCTACGAGTTCTGCAGTTACAGAGACGTCTCAGTTAGCCGAACAGAAAAATGTATAGTAGGATACTCAGAACACATTCCGTGTGCAGAACACATTCTAAAGCGTGTGGTCCGGAAGTCTTTAGGGTAAACTAGTAGCCTATACTCCTATCTGTTAGATACTGCTCACCCGAGTGACCTGGTCATTTAATTTCAGAGGTCGTTGACCATAACGAAACCAAACTTTTGTCGAAAAGCAAAGCCTTGTCTATCGAATTAAACAGGTCCCGAGGAAGTGAACAGAATCACCCGACATCGACCAGGTGACATACATAAATCAAACAATAGATACCTGTCCACCACCTTTTCTCTTCCTCTAGATATGTGGTAATCATTTCTTAAATCCACAACTAGAAACAGTAAAGGAAGTATTAAGATATCTTGGAAAATCTCATCTGTCAGTTCCAATGATATGTAGCTTCAGAGGCTTTCGGGGGACTCCGTGCTAAGAAAAAATCGCTGAATTTGATTCCAAAATTTAGGGTGGTAAATTCTTCACTTGTCCTGATGTAAAGAACTGTCAACAATGTTTGTACCACACATTAATTTGAGGAAGAATACGAGAGTTTAACTGGAATTCAAGTGAGTCTCTGGTGAAAACCACGACGGTATGGAAGTGAGTGTACGTGTAGGAATATCAACAGATTTGGATGTTTATGATTAAAGAGAGCACCGTTGTAGACGGCCTCCCCACTTATTCAGCAGCTGCGAATTACAGGAGACTCATTCCCCATACTACCTTCAGTCAGCGCCACGAATGGCGTTACTCGGCCAACTCAACCTGTGAAATAGATGAAGATTTCGCAGATATTCCGTCCAGCCGAAATGCTTTTGCACGCCAACTTCAAGGGTGGATTTAGTTCCCTAACTAGCAGTTATGGGTAGTATTTCGAACTAGTCGCTGTTGACAGTTGTTTGTTTGCTTCATTTTCTCCATACTGGAGTGGGGAATATCCTGTTTCACGCAGTCTGAAATCAGCAGTTGATGAAAAACTGCAAGCAGAGTGTGATAAAAAGAATTTTCATTTAATACACAAGTGAAGGTGAGCTGATTATTGATTCGCACTGTGATGGATTTGGACTTGTGTTTTTGAAGTGCAGGCTGGAAATTGGCGACCAATAGAGAGCAGCTGCCATCACGCAACACAAGTGCAACTTGAAGCGCAGTATCATGTAACTACTTGGGCGCGCATTCACCATCATCATGGAAGGATAGATTGAGAACCAGAATACAGACTTTGTTTTGCTTATCTTCGTACCCTGTACGCAGTAGAACGCGTTGAGAAATGGTACTTTAATGTATTATTTATATACTATTTAACTCACATACACTTGCTCACTCAAGAAGGTCTATGTTAGTGAATCAGTTACTATTTTTACGGGTACGTTTTGATAGACCTGGAGAATTTGACACTCATGATTCACATGCAATCCGTGCGTGCTTGCGTCATTCAGATAAGGATTTGTTGCATCTCATCGTTATCGTCGGGATGGACGCTACTTAAGAACTACGCAGAACTTGATGACGCTCAACGTGATAAGCTGAAAGTAGCCATTTCAGGTGCATCACGTATTTTGCCTGGCAATCGTGGAAACTGTTCATGAACACTTTTTATTGAAATAGTTACTGAATTCTGGAGCGCTATTTCCAGGCGACCGTTTGCAGGAGACTTGAAAATATTGTATTTGTTTTCAAACCAACCAAAATCGCTGACCAGAGATAGTGAAAACAAGCGGTTACGGTAGCTTACATGCAGTATGGTGAAGTTCTCCAAAACCTGGTTCATCATTCCCCGGTTGGGCAACTTCAGCAGCTTGACTATAAAGCTTTTCATATAGTCACACATTGGACTGCGTAAAAAGCGGTACACGTATCGCCCATGCTCCCCTCGAGGTTGCTCTTCCTGCTGAAGAGAATAGGAGATGAAATGAGATGTGAACAGTTAGACGACTGTAAATATAAGTAATTTATCAGAAAATCACCATCTTGAGGGATGGTGGTATGCAGCAGTACCGAAACGGGATAGAAAGGCACAAAGAACTTTAAGGACTTGAACTAAGCCCAAAAACATTTAGTTGTGAGGTGGATCGTCAGAGACACTCTCTGAGGGTTTTACCTCAAAGGGAGTGTTTGAACTCAAGGTTGGCATCCGAATTGACTTGACTACAACCTTTATCTCTCGGTACTTACTCAAAATCTGAGATTCAACGTCATTTTTCGCCGTGGTTCCACTTTAGGTTCGCCACCCGGTTTTTGGTGGAATGTTTTGGAGGTTTTCACTAATTTAGGTGTATTTAAACATATTCTCATCATTGTATCCCGTTTAAATTATTAACTTGATGAATATTGCATCCGAGGGTTTCGGATATCAGTTGACGTGAACTTCTCGAGTACCAAACATATTCAGCACGGTGGAAGTTAAGCATCAAATAAATTTGGTGAGTACTGTCGTTGACTGATTGAAGGCTCGCAGTTTGCTTATGGCGAAACCACACGAAGCATGAAATTAAACACATTTCTCGATGGAGACAATGACCTCCAGTCCACTGGACAGACGCTCCACAAACTGATTTAAGGGGGACGCTTGATCTCCTTGACACTGATAGGTGACCTTACCGGGGTCAGAGAGGTGAACCTCCATAATTTTTCATGATGCGTATGCTGAAGCATGAAAATGTGCTCCTTTAAACCTTCGGAGAAATCGATAACCTAAAGGAACCCATTTGGAACCATAAAATGAACTTTATATTGTTGGGTAGATTTTGTTATTTTCCTAATTTATCTACATTCAGCATTCGATTTACTGGGAAGTGATAAAGAATAGCCAGACGCTGCCGATTGTTGTTGATAATAGGGCTAACCCATCAAGATCGGGATAGGTATGGGCAAAGCACCAGCTCATTTCATTCACTGACCTCAATTTTTTCCACGACTTGCTTTCCGAAGGAACAGACTTTGGTGGACAGACTGAGTGGAACGTCTTCAATGCCATCGAAACTGAAATAACATGCAAAGGAAATTCGAACCCTCTTTTATCAAAATCGTAGGAGATATAGATCATTGGCCTCACTTAATAAAACTTGATAAAATTGGGCTGCTTCCATCCAGAATAAGATCACTGGAAGCAAAGTCTTCGTGATCCCTCCTTGGAAGGATGTGACGATTACAGGAGTCATCAGGGGGACAGCATATATTGGTTTTGATTGGAGGCTATTCAGTCGCCGCTCCAGAAAGTACACAATATTTTAAGAAATGCACTCCACAGAACAAAGTGGAGAAAGTGAAAATACACGGGTGCAAACTGATCATGAGTCGATGAATCTGGACAGCGGATAAAACAAATAATCATTGTGAATATATTTAATGTTTCTTAGCCCTTGGATCAACATCACAGCGGCTTTTTGATAGAACGTTGAACTTTGATGCCAGAATCCTGCCAAATGCTATCATTTCTGTATTTGTGATTCTGTTTCATCTAGCATGACCTTTTCGTGACCAGAGTTGACCGTTAGTTGCTTTTTTAACCGTGGGGACATTTAGTCTGCATCTGCGCAAATTGATTTCATCCGGGATGTAGTGAACCACTCCATTGTACATTGATTTTTTCGTTTCTTTTGAGGTATATGGCAGTATGTAACTTATCTCACAGTGGTGAGTGCTCCACGGAAAACTGTGCAATGTGATGGGTTGATTTCATTGCACATCTCAATTCAGAAGCGGCACAAATACATTGGTCTCACACGACTGCTAAACCTGGTCACCCATACAGACATCTACGGTTCGTTAAACAGTGAAATCTGACCCATGTTAACGTGTTGACCAAAGCGTGTACCGAAAACGCAAAAATGCATTTACGCTAAATTCTAACTATTATGTTTGTCTATTGGAATGTGGTAGAAAAGTCACGCACATTAAAGGCTGGTGGTCTCTAAATTCATTAGACTATGAAGGAAATTCCCATTTATTTCTATTAGGAGCATCGCAAAAGATCGGCAACAATCGAGAGGTGATAAAACGCTGGGCACATATGAAGGGTTTTTAAACTGCTGTGCCAACAACATCCTGTAGCCTGGATGGATTTAGATCTTATACGTAGTCAAACTCAAGTTCTCCGCATCGAAAAGTCGCCGGCTGTACTTCAAATTGCGCAGAATATAAAGGATATACAGTGGTCGGAAATCAAATTGATGTAAATGAACTTGAACCACAAGACCGGGCTTTTACATAGTGGAAACTGAAAGTCAATTATTATTCACATCAAATCACTCACACGGCAGAAACAGCAAATGTGGACTCCGGTTCCACTTGAACATCAACGTCCGCCTGAGAATGAAAGACGAAGGAAAATCAGTTAGATATAGTCAGCGAGACGGAAATACGAAGTCGGAAGAAGGTGTGATAATTTGTGAATGGCTACAACAATGTAACAAGGTGAATGACAACATCAAATCACAACAGTCTAACACAACAGTGAAAGCAAAAAATTATCCACTAACACTAGGCAATCATGGACGTGGTTTGCCACTTATTGTCCTCGAAGTGAGATACCTGTGGGTAAGCAGATAGACACGTAAACAAGGAGTTGCAAGCCTATTCGGTAATGTGAGATTACCCGAGCAAAGCAACAAAGTTTTTACTATTAGAACGTAACAGAGCAGTAACCACGAATAGGACTTTGTTATCAATGACATCAATGTATTTTTTTATTGACTTGCTGTGTTAGCTAATTTAAGGTAGATGTTGATATACAGTGGGGAACGTGAACGGTGGTTCCTTGACCCTGGAAATCATATTTTTTACAAGCGCATCAAGCATGATCTTCCTCTGATATTCCGACTAATCCAGTTAATTATTTGGTTGTGGATGTTTTCGAGATTTGTAAAATTCACATCCTCCCCTGTTCCGATGTACTTATTCCAGTGAGTTTACATCAACAAGGGGAAGCAGTGGACTCGAGATTCACTCCTATTAGAGCCCATCAGCAGTGCGCGATCACACCCACGATCGTAAGGCGCTGCACTGGCTAGCCTTTGTGACTATGTCCTCCTTCAGAGCACTAAAAGCAGCTGGCGGTCCGAGGGCATTACCTAACTAAGATTTCCAGTGGCTTATTGCTTTTAGCGACATTCTTCATCTAAGCTTTCAGTTACAGAGAAATCATCCTCCTTAAATAACTAAGTATATTTTTGCATAAATATTAGCAACCTTGGTGTTGTACATTTTAGACTTCCATGACAAATTTCGGTTCTATAAATAACGTAACGTTTTACCTGTCCTTTCATGCTATATTTAAATGAGCGATCGCGGCCTACTAGTACCTTGAGGTAGGAAAATCAAATTTCAAACGGTTACATAGCCAAACAAAAAGCGCTCATTCAGCCTAGTGAAATATCAAACTTTCTGACTCGACTGTAGCTTTAGAAAATGCTCAGAGACAGCTTAGTTATGAATGGCTAGTCATTGAAGGTCCTCCTAAACTCTTCGGTATAAGTCATATTATAAGATGAGTTGGCTACAGCGACTGCTGCACATCTGTTGCACTGTCGCGCGATTATGCTGACCTGCGAACCAGTAAAAATACGCTGTAAGTATCGAGTGCGATTTAACTCAAATGATATAATCTCTGCCGAACTGATTCGTCCGCACCACCCTCGTTTGAAAGGCCTAAATTTGGTTCCGGTTAGGGCATTCAGGTCATGACCTTTTTGACCAAACGTGGATTAGGCCGTAAACTGTATGAAATGCAAGGCTGTGGGGTTTTGCAGCTGTACGGCTAATTGTGGATAGCGATACGAGTAAGAAGATCAGGTACAAACTAATGGTAGTTTTAACAAGGGGGCCAAATCATTAACTACGTATCACAAAGGATTCTAGCTGCACCGCTGAACGGAAGCAAATCACAGTGGACAAAATTTACTCGAAGCTCTCCATAGATCTAAATTCACTCATAACACAACTAAATTAGTTGTCTTGAAATAACAGCACACAATGAGTCCGCATTCATTTGTTTTCACCACTGACTGAATGATGATAGTGAACGGAAAATATGGACTGCTCAAAATATTGGCGGCTGGCACACAAAATATGGAATGAACAAGGCCCCATAATCTTGCTGAAACAACACGGAGTGGCAATCATTTACGACTGCTAACCTGTCTTCGGCACTCCGTTGAAAGTATTCCAGTTTTTGGATCACAAACGACCGACCGCTGACGGTTGTAAGGCAGCTGATTGCTCGCGAATGCAACCATCTCTGTGGTTTGTTTCAATTGATTTCTTGAGCTGCTTACTGCCCGTTGGGTACATTGTTTACAGCCAGTAAGCGTTCAAGAATTTATGGCACTAAGACACGAAGTGAAACCAACTTCAGATTGCTGTTAGTAGACTGTCAGATTTTAAATAGTGTACATCAAAAGCGAGTGATTCCAGTGGAGGCAGAAGCTCTCTTATCCCTAACTAGCTAGAACTCTGACTACGTCTTTCCTGATCAGAGCGAATATATATCACTAGCTAGTTTTTTACGAGGTATCAGGTTGGTTGGACTAGTGAACACCTGGTGTCTCCCTTTCAACCAAGGCCACAATTCCGCAGTATAATAAAGATTCATGCAACTATGTCCAAACATGTTGAAATTCTGACTTGGTTGATGGTCATGTTGTTTTTTATTTGCTCGTCAAGCTTGACCATCGGCCGTCATGCCAGGCTACGGTAGAGAACATCTTAGATCTGGTCCTGCTTAACTACGCTTGTAACTGAATAATAGATACATCTCTCGGAAGATACCTCCTGCAAATTACTACAGATATCTGGATATCTAACCTGAAAAAAGCCGAGGTCCGTTTTCCCAGCTGAAAACTCAGGAAGTCCAGAACGTGCACTACCCAAAATGAGCCATCAAATCCGCCTCAAAATCAACGACCATATGGGACGCATTCTCTGTGTGCCAGAATCTGGCAACAAATCTGGGTCACCGTCTACAAATATCTTCCGTCAGTTGTGAGCTTTCCATATTCAAGGAGCCTACGCACCTGCCAGCAGTAGTAAGCTCCAATGAAGTGTGCTGATGAAGTAACGTTTCACACATTTCAAACAGTAGGGGAACATGGATTTGAGGTTACCTCCACATACAATACGGTAGTATGAGGTAAGGTTTGTTGAACAGGCCGCAGTCTGGTTTATCCAAATCCATCATAAGTCAAAATGAGGTCTATTGTTAAGTAAATTTCCAGCCTATGGGATTTACTTCAGATTAGTTATCGGGGCTTGTATGAATATCAGTCCAGATATCACTGATCAAGAGGAAACCAGCTGAATGCACGTGCTGAGGTTTATTTGCGCCACGAAGCAGTGAATCTCTTGCAAATGGTTTACAAGTAGAACCACTAAGGAATGAACAAGAGTACCCATTCCTGGAGACCATTTGTGCAGAATGCACTATGGCAGAGAGGCGATAAGCTATTTAGTGGTGTTACTCAAGAGCTCACTTTCAAGGGGCTAAATTCTGCAAGGGTATAGCCAGATTTCGCGACCAGATTTTCATTTACAAGATCTACATATCCCTATTTCGAAGCAGGAATATACATAAAGAAAACCTGAAAACGAAACATGGAAATACAGTCTGACACCACTATCACGTCGTAAGAAGATGGACCACCTAACATATCACTCCGACTTCTCAAAAGGGCATTAAAGTTGGGAGAATTTCCACAAAATTGACGAACTGAGTCGATGTGAAAGACCGATTTCCAATAAGCCACCATTTCTGTTCCACCTGGCACTAGTCATAACTTACACGTGTTTACTTCCTCCAAGTTTGATTACAGCGAACTTCCGGTGCCAGTCCTTAAGACACCCCCTAACTTATCTCACAACCTGAGGAACTATCTTGAGCACCTGAGCAAACAATCGCTTACCCAAAACTTGACAAGGAAGAATGTGCTGGCTGGTCCACGTTCCATCAGTTCTTTTAGGCTATCCTCAGGAAACTTGTCCCATATCTGACTCGCATCCACTTCCTCCAAAGGCGGATCGGAATAGATCGACTTGGAAGGCCCAATATGCACAAAAATGTGCTGCCGAGTACTTTCAAATGGGTCGTTGTTGAGATTCTGCTAAAAAGCGGGAGAAAATTATTGAGCCGTTAATTAGTGATGAATATGGGCTTGTGATGAGATGAATTCCTTCCTAGTATGATGATAAGAAACAGACCGCCGTACGACGTGAAGTAAAATTCGATAGACACAGCTTGAAGATTGTTACCTACAGGAGAAGTTCTTCCTCCAGTCATAACTTGGTGACTGATCACTTAGTGAACTGAGCATGTCATACAACAACGAACAACCAAGCGGCCAACAGACACCAGATTTTGCGAGTTGACTTTGTTAGTACACTGTAATTTATCCTTACATTCTTCGTGTCTAGTTGCCGATAAAATTCTCAATATAACCCGGTCGTAATCTGAAATTGCTCCACTGTCCACCTACGAGGGCCCCAAAAGGCCTACGGCACGACTTGCCTTCTTCTTAAGGCATTTAAACTCGGCATCAAATAAAATTTAGATTCCTAACGGGACATAAGGTTCTTTTCAGAGTATATCATCTTGTTGACAGATGTTCCGGAAAATTCCACACCACCTTATACTAGAAAAGGCCCTTTACTGAAATTCTTACGGGAATGAATGCAGAGACCTTCCGTTAGTTTAGGTTTTGCGCTTACTGTTACGGATTACTGACTGACTGCAATTAAAACCAGCGACTGTTGTAGACTGCATATTTTCAGTGTGTTCGTGAAGTTTTAAAATTACCTGAAGGCGAATGAATTTTACTCGACCTTCGAAAAATTCGTCTTTTTTAGCATCCAAGATACCCAGAGCGTCATGTCCTGGAGCTTACGCAGTGAACAGCGTCACATGTCGCCACCGCATTCCAGCCCTATTTACTTAATGGTGGGTTTATACCTCCTGGCTGGTTGTTAGCTTCTCTACGCTGACGGCATATCGATAGAGATAGTTTTGAAATAACTAAAGAGAAGTAATGGATAAGATAGGTGAAACATATCGAAAAGTGATAAGGTGGTAGATTGAGCTTCACCCAAAAATTTTTCGGATTTCGCAATGAATCAGATAGCGCCACATGAAATATCGCAAGAAGTTTGTGCACTTGGTTATTAGAGGGTGTGCACTGACAGAATCAAGTGTCACTAAACTGGAGTGTTGCTTAAAGGTGACAGGCAAATGAATCAGCACATGAGTTTTCTGCTAGTGCTCTCCACCTACTGTGAGCTTCCACCATTGTAACACACTGCTTCCAAAACATCATGGAAAAAGTTAGTGCAAAGATCAACTTCCTCAGAAATCTCTTTGACACCCGTCAACTGATCATTGTTTATCCACTTGAATTCGGCTGCACGCGCAGTAGACAAATAAACACCACTTTTCGTTTCGCACTTCTGGGACGCTATTACTACCCAATCAGATTTCTTCATTAGGATAATGTAGACTTACAAAATTGTTGACAAACATGTTTTGCTTCATTATCGGTTATTAAATTTTATGACCCAGTCGCTATGCAGAATCATGTCAGCTGCTTCCTTAGAAAACGTGTGCAGAAGGATTTATTGTGATAAGTCAGGGCGGTCCCTTAACTAATGAACCACAATCTCATTCAGGTTATTGCGAAGATGTCTTGGGTCACTGAATCAGTGCGGTTGATGTTGTGTGAATTATGTTCACAATCCGCCAATATATTCGGCAAACTAGTAGGCTGATTCATCTGAATCAGGTACCGCGTAAGTAAGGTGATTTTCACATTATCAGGTGAATTAGCCCATGAGGAAAATGAAGGATAGACATAACTTGGGATCGAAGTCCTATGATTCTGGCTTCCTAACTGCCTCGGTGATTGGAGGTAGGTAAAAGGGACTTATTGATCCCGGTTCAACGGTACGTCGGGAGTTGGATAAAATAGTTGTCAGTAATTCTGGCAGTGGGTCGTCATATGCAGAGAAGGAATGCAATCAGCAATAATCAAGGATGTGTGTACTTCAGTAATGTCAATCATTATAAATGCTTTACCTGTAGCCAATCACAGTTATCCAAAATCAGATTCCTTTTCGCTCGATTAATCCAACACCAAAACTGATAGCACATCCCTTATTCAGACAGTAACATTTGCTCACAAATACGGTGCAGAACACTAGAGTGCACCTGACGTGTATCCATCACAACGTTCCGCTATTGGAACTTGTCACCTTTACTTCTAAGAGTAGGCTTTTCTATTTGAGCCTCCCTCTTGATAGGTTATTTTTCAGAAAAACGGTTGCTCCACAAAAACTGTGAGCCGTACCAAATTTTCGCGAGGCCTCCAGGTTTACTTGCGTCCGGTGTATAAAAATGGGTATTTTGTGGCCAGCGATATCAAGTAATTCGATTTGACTCTTAACTATTTGGAAACCATCCTCACCGATCAGAAATTAGCAGGTGTCTGGTTCCTCCGAAATATTACTTCCATGAATGCTTTAAACCGAGGTGTACAACAACGAAAGACAACAAAATTGACATGTAGTTCGTCAGTAATGTCCGACTTCAATTGAGAGAGACAAACTGGTGGACGGCGGTTTAACACTCAACAGAAGTTGCCACTTAAAGTTCCAGCGTCTGTCAAACAGCTTGGAAAAGCAATGTATTTCAAGCCTCATGTATGCCGGTAACTCAGCGAGTGGAAATATTAGGTATGCTAGGATGAATAGATTCATTCTTGGGATTAATGAGGGCTAATTGTTGTTCCAGCTAAATCGTACTTGTGGAAGCAACATGAAGACGAGCACCCAAAACGTAACCGTGATAGTTTTTTTATACGCCTAACCCCGTAGAAATGCGCACAAAGTTGAGTGTAACGATAATCCCAGATGGCCACAAACGATCATCAACAAAGCACGCGTTATTATGACCGTTGGCACGTGCGACAAAACAAAAACACACATTTTCCACTGACAAGCGTCAATAAAAAGTAACAAAACATTGGCCTCAGGCCAGTCGACCATTTTGTGTCCAACGGCAACTGATCAGCTGTGATCCGCATGTTGTTTTTTATGTTTACTCTACTGAGCTGGCGGTTCGTGATCGATTTGATGGCTACTGGACAGACGGTTTGAAGATCAGATGCGAATGTAAACATGGAAATTATTTCACCAAGTTCGCTAGAACGAAACCAGTTCCGTGAGTCAAATATAACATAAACTGGATTCCTCACAACTTACTGCATAGAGTTAAGATTTATGGAGTCCGCACTACCTATATGGGTCACGGAATTTTATACTGTCGCCCCCTAAATGGTCATACCAATCACTTTTTCCAGTGCACTGTGTCACAGAGATCCTAGTTTTCCTGCAATGTGATGCAAACCGCAAAAAATATGCACGTCTGTAATGTATCAAATGTATAACTTATGCACCCTTTGCATCAACGTTTATCTGAATATTTTAGCTGCGCTACAAATTAAAAGATATGGCAGCGAGGAAGCGAGCACTGATTTTGTGCCGCCGTTGATGACGTTGATGATAATGAAACGAAATGGATGATTCACTGAGCTTGAGACGTGATCATACAGTTGCAACTAAGGACAAAGTCACTTCCGGGAGTCGGCCAGTCGAAATTTTAGGAAAGTAAGGATGGAACCAAGGCTGTACTCTGGTGCTTTTCAGGTCACACGTACGCCCCCATGAGTACTTCCCAAAATAATCCTGTTCAGTTTACGGACGGGCTAAACCAGGTGGTATCGAAAGTGAACTAGTAGACTAGTGGATTAGTTTATTGACGCTTCTCAGCAGGCGTGGTTTGTCCTATCACACTAACAAAGAGGAAAGCCAGTTTCGGAATTACCGGTAGCACTTGGATTATACACTTAGACTATATAGACAGTATGTTGTACCAAAGGGCAATGATGCTGGTGGACCAGCGGACTGCAGAGGAGCACCACGACAGGGTTCATAAACTGTTCCGTAACTCTACTCCAATGACGGCGTGAGTAAGTAGGCATCCAAGACACCCAACCTACATAAGTTGCCGAAGGTCCGGCACCAATTTTTGTCTTCCAGTTGAGTGAATTTTCGATTAGGGGAGTAAAATTGGTAACAGCACATGGTCAGCTACTCAGAACTTGGACTAGTATAACACCAGGCTTGGCTGATTTTTTGTCTGCTTTCCTAAACTAACCTGGCAAATAGACTGGGAAGCTGGGCATTTTCTTGCATCCTTACCCAGTCCTCGTTTAGAACGGATCGGGTGCAGTCGTGACCAGCTGCCCACCACCTGGCGCGAAATTAGGCCACACAAATCCGCGAGTCGATCCATCGATCGATCATCATGCAAGGTCGGGCAACGCGGCGGACAGTAACCATCCCAAGACTGCCGTTTCAAGCCCTGGTCATCTAGTCCCGTCAGGGGCTAGACCGGTTCGGCACACTAGCGCACACGTGAAACAAGCGTACACAACTGAACGTACCTAAGGAGTGCCCGGCTAGGGACTAAGGTATGTTGGTGTTTGTCCGATTGGTTGCTTACACACACGCATGCGTGCGCATGACGCCCGTAGCCTTCTGTGTGGTTAACATGATTTGAAAACGACAGCTGGAAATGCCAGATAATGATGATGACAATGGAGAAAGCTGTTTGTGGGCATTATGCGGCTGAAGCAATCGCGATCCGACTGACAATCCCAGTCAGATTGCAGCCATTACGGTGAAGAACGTCATAATTAATACCGGAAGGCTGTTCGTGGGTTGTGGTAGATAAAAACGTAAATTAGCGCTTCATCGCTGAAATGCAGATGGTGGCTCAACGATGGCAGTTCGCACTTTTAAGTCTCAGTCCATAGTTTTAGTGGTTCACTTGGCCGAGATATTGTCTTCGGGGTTTCGGCATCACTGAGAGTTTAAAAGAAACTACCACTGTTGATATCACACACTTAACTTTCCCCAACTTGTTGAGCCTGTGAGGTTAGCGTTTTTTTCTGGTACACAGCACCAAAGTTAATATGTGAGTCTGGAAGATGATCATGAATTTGAAGAAGGGTGCATTGTTGATTCTTGTAGTGCAGTATCAGTCAGTAAGTGAAAACACAAAATTTTCAATGTAATGTGATTGTTGCGACCACCCTAAGAACCTGGCGAATCTGTATATTTGGCTGTGTATTAGATGTATTGACCGAAGAGCAGCGATTAACCATTGATTGTCCTCAAACGGAATAAGGAAATGGCAGACCAACACAACAATTATGATACTACTGAAGTTGGCATTGATGAAGAAACGGCTTGGTGACTCCTAGAGAGAATTTTGGTAATAAACATCACATTTCTTGTAGAGATGACATGACATCCCAGCCGGCACATTGTTGTCACATTCAACCAATAGACGTCGACATATAGGTACCTTTGATTCAGATGTAACTGGGGGAATAAAACAGGTAGATAAAGGTCTAAGCTCCATAATGCGGGAATAGTTGTCTCCTGGATTCCAAAAAGAACTCCCAGACCTATCCCATCAATCTCCTATTAGGACGTACCAACACTTATTAGGCTGGAATACACTGAGTAATGTTCAGAATCTATTCGGCCATATCCACCGTCGTTCTGCAGCGAAATTAAAATTGCTATACTCAACTGCTGTGTTCTAATCAGGACGTGTGCGTGATGCACCTGCAAGCCGGCTACCTGGAGAACTTATGGTTGAATTCAATTGGGAAGAGTGCTCTGATGCTGGCTTTTAAGTGCCGATGAGGTGTCCAAGCTCAAGTATGAGCGGTTCCGGTTATTTTTATTATTATGAGGAATCACACTCTGTTCTTGTAGTCACCATGATGATGCCTGCCTGGCTCTGTATTAATTTCATCGCTGCTCTGTCGTCATCAGATTTTATAATTAATCTGTTACATGTTTTACAAGAGAAATCACCTCAACGGGTCCTCTGAGGTTGTTGAAATCAGCTCTTGTCGGGTGTCAACAGGCTAAACTCCTTATCCTGTCACTCAGCCTGAACTTCAGACTCCCAAGCTTTAAAGCCATTTTTGGTCAAAATGCCAGAAAACATTTTTGCTCCTAAAAAGCGCCCTACAAGTAATTCCTACAAGTCCGTAATCAGTTCAAACGGTGTTCCAGAAAATTTGTCCTACATGACTGGAGTTTCCAACGCATGCTAAATTTCATCAGAAATCAGGCCAATGTGCTAGAAAGCCAGAAAATGTGCCGTTGACGAGAATCTGCATAATGTGAAAAAAAACACCAACCACTTTGGGAATTTGCCAGATGGTTAATTCGTCTGCACATTATTTATGCTAGCCTTTTGTAAACAGCGTAAACTAATGGGACAAAACACTGGGTTTTCTGGAGACAAAAGAATTACACTCACATTTGAATCTGTATCAGTTTCCTTTTGCAACATGAATGCACTGAGTTCAACTAGTCTCATCTTGGGCGCTGTGATCGCACGTTCTGTCCACAGTGGGTTATTGAGCTGGTTTGGCAAAAATCTGGCCATTGTTGCCATTGAAAGATCCTGGTAATTAGGGTGCACATCCGATAAGTTGACAAGCTGCGGACCGTTGTTCAGCTGTGGTTTTGTAATGTTACTGGTGGTGGTTGTGGCGCGGTAGGTAACACTGTCGGGGAAGACTTGGTGTGCAGTGCTAGGGGCGTTCATATTCGTACGATCTGACGGTGAATCTTGTGGTAAGAGCTGCAGGGATCCGTAAGGATGCTCAGGAGGTTCCTCTCTGGTCGGACCATTGGTGAGGGAATTTCTGTTAGAAATGGTCACCGGTCCGGGGGAAACTTGTCCAGCTGATCCTCTATTTGAAGTGACATTAGATGGAATCTTTTGCGCATCTGTATGCTCCGGAACACCTAAAGTAAAAGGAGCTCCAGATGTCATTGTAAGATCGGTGGGGGTAAGGAGGGCTGCTTTTGGCCAAAGGGGAACAGGACCCCCTGTTGGATTACCATAAGCCGCGGCCGCTGCGACCTGAGCAGCTGCCATAGCCATAGCAGTTGCTGATCCGCCATTGAAAGAACCAATATTAGCAATTGAGCACGCTCCTCTCAGAGGCACGGGGGGAAATGAACACAGGGGAGATGAATTGGATAGTACCGGATGGGATGTAAGTGCATCTAGAGGAGTGGCAGTTGGCATCGTTGTGGATGAGGTCGACTTTGTCCCACTAAGCACACCAACCTGACTTGGGGAGCAGCAAAATAGTTGCCCTAGAGAGGTGCTGACCAAAACGAAACCATTGTTAGACGAAGGTGGATTTTCATTCCGCATTTTGGAGGAGTTATTGCTATTTGGGTTGGATGTTGTATCGTAATTGTCTAAGAGTTGAACTGAACGCGAATCCACTTGAAGATTGAATGCCAGCTGGTGCTTGTTTTCAAAGGTACTGTGGTTCGGATTGGCTCCATTCACTGCAAAGGGAGGATGTTTTGAACGTAATGCCAAAAGTGCTCCATAGGGGTTTGACAAATTTTCAGGGGTCTGTTGCTGACTCAGCTGACCATTGTGGTTAGCCTTCCTTATCGCCGTGCAGCCATCGTTGTTGTTGTTCTCAAGGCATGCCGAGTTTGTTGGGAGAAGGTGGGCAAGACCTGATAGACCAATGACGTGTAAAAATTAAACAATGGAGCGGAAAGCTATACAAAAACTCACGAAGGTGGGAAGTATATGGGAAGTTGACCCTACTTAGGGGCAACGTCATCAAAATGCCTCTACACAAGGTCTACTGTGAAAGGAGCACTGAATCAATACATAAATCTTGAATAACATTTTGTGCCGAGGGACGGGAAATGATGAATGAGGTCTTTTTCACTCTCAGGAATGTGCCTCATCTGATGACATTTTTAAGCCCTATCTAAAGAACACGTAAAAACATTCGAATGCCAGTTAACGTTTGACAAAATACCAGCGCGATTTGCATCACTCGGTTAATGCCAGTCTGAACTTCCAACTAGTGCTAAGTGCGAAAGAAACTCCGCTGTCGCTCCCGCAGTTTCGGAATTTTCTTGTGGACGATCACTTACCACCATGATAATGGATATGAATAACTTTTAGTTTCAAACGTCGTGATAATAAGTTCTGTAAGTTCCGTTTCAATGATATGAGGATATCAATCGGAAAATTCCTCGACACTGCTTTACTACTGAGGAGCGATTTACAAACATTAAGCACTTGTGGATATGAATAACTTTTAGTTTCAGACGTCGTGATAATAAGTTCTGTAAGTTCCATTTCAATGATATGAGGATATCAATGGGAAAATTCCTCAACACTGCTTTACTATTGAGGAGCGATTTACAAACATTAAGCACTTTAGTCTATTCATTGTGAACACTATTCGAATATTTCTAGAAGTAGCACACTACCCATACTACTCTCCGACTACCCACAGCCAATTTCACTCTTCTTGGGGTCATCAGGTAGGCGCGGTCCCCGAGTTTATGAATTGCCTGCGCCAAACCAACCCAGTCTGCTCGGTTATAAATGTACCGCTGTGTGGTCTGATGCATCTGACCTCAGTCTGATCTGTCTGAAGATTAGGGTGAGTAAGTGCTCCTGGGGACGTCCTGGCAAAGTCAGTAGTTGACACATACATTTTGTGGATTTGTTTTTTGGGATTTCGACTTCTGTCATGAGTCAACAGTTAGGTTAGGAACGGCTAATCTCAACTTTAACTATGGAGCACACCTTGGAGTACCTTTTTGGGTACATAGAAGTACATCTTGTCATTTTCCTGACGGTGATCAAAGTACTGATTACCTGCTTACCTGAAACTGACTTCTGGGGATCCATACCGTTAGACATAGTTGGTAGGTGCCGCTTCAGTTCGGCGTCCTTGTAAGACCCATTAGTTTGTCGGAAGATCTGATCCAGTTGGACATTGCTAGTTGTGGTTAGACAGCGAGACTGCGTGTTGAATGCCATCAAGTGATCATGGTCTGTGGTCAGATCTTCATGCTTACCATTCGCTGTTGTGCGAGTTGAACTAATCCCAGTTGGGCTGGTGAGCATGCTTGTCGGTGGGGAGGTCTTTGGACCCGTGTTGGTGGAAGTCGTAACCGGAAGCATCTTGGTTCCGAGCACACCAGCAGAAACTATCTGCGCAGAGCTTAGCATGGAGAGGTGCATAATAGCTCTTTGTTTAGTGTCAGGATCTTTGATCTGTGCCTGCAACTCTTTTGAACGCCGTCGAGCAAGTACTTGGATATGACTGGACACTTGCTTCCGACTGCGAATCTTCCCCGTATGCTGATAGATGTATCGAGCAATGAGCTCATTCCGCCCTGAAAATAATCACAGTGACGAAATGACAAGATTGTGCCAAAACTCGTTATCTAGGAAGTAGTGTTATAAGATGTTTTGTTTTCTTCATGCGACAGATATTGTGAATTCGATAATCTCTTACGTAGAAGAACGTTAGTGGCAAACCTGAAAAATTGTGCGTACTAATGGGTGTCCAAACAAAGTCAAGCCGCACCGTGTTTTGACTTATGCACCCATCCAACTGTGAATCTGATTCACCTGGGACCCACACAAATCTCTATTTCATGAGGCTGTCCTACCGTAGTGTGCGTACTATTATACTGACGTTATTCGGATAAGATTTTCACCCATTGCTTGACTGCAACTTCGAAGGAGACAATAACCCCTTAATACACGCATACCGATGCAAGCGCTGAATTTAGACTACAAACCGGACATTATGTTACGCATGGATGAGGGAGACCGATCAACTATCAAAAGTCACTGCAAATGACTGTGCGATTTGAAAAAAAATCAAATAGAACCGCCAAATTTGTGAGCGCAAAGGGGGCATCAAGACTTCAGATCCTTTCGCACAACCTATAAGCTTCCGTCGATGGCCATCGATGGTCACAGTAGACAAATTTTTACGAAAAAAAAGCAACTTATTTTAATGTCATGAGCTCTGTACATGGTCTCGTGGGTCACTGATTGTTTGACTAGAGAACAAAATACTTCATGGATGAAGAATGTGAGAGAACAGGTTATTCAAGCCTCTGAGATTGAGCAGTCCAGACAACTGGTTGTGGTAGAAGACGTGGCTACGTGGGTATAGCAGTTCTGAGTTCATCTAATTTTCTACCAACAACATGAAGCAAAATCTCTAATAGGCCTATTTTTATTTCTGTATCACAGGGTCAATAAGAGAAAACTATACATAGAAAAGCTGTCCTACTTAAATTAGAAGCACAATACAGTATATTTTATTGATTGTACGTATATCATTGTACACGGTGCCTGTTTATCACACAGTATTCATCTACCTTGACACTGGGAGCAAAAAGGAGTGTCGACCCTCGTTTCTTGTTGAAAATAATCCAAAAAGTGGCGAGCGTCAACAAATCCCTTTTACAATGACAAGACCTGCCTCTTATGCATGCAATCAAAATGTTGGCACCTAATCAGTGATATCAGTGAGGAACTAATGCTTTTTGGAAGAATTGATTTTCCTGCAGATGAGAATAGCATTCTTCGCCCCGAAATAGCGTATTATTTATAAAAAAATCTAAACTTATTGCCGGCCAGGTTTTTAGTAATGGGTACAAAACGCAGTTGCCATTGCTGACGACAATGCTGCCGATCACTGAGAATAGTTGGTTTCATTATTTAACACTCCTGGACCCACTCCACCCTTCCATGGGAAACAGCCATAATGAACCACGAAGCGGTTTATTCATCAGCAGCTTTGTTCAGACAAAATAATCTGTTGCTACTTTTTGAAGTTACTCATTGGCGAACAGGGTCTGGGTCAATACAACGGCCCTCTATCAAAGAAAAATCCCGGTGGATTCTACATCGGTGTGGACGCGACCTGTAAAAAACACGTCACCTGCTCCCTGGGAATTCTAGCCGATACAAAAACACGGTTTATCTGGCACTTTGCACGCCTACCTAAATGAACGATTTGAAGGAGTCTAGTGTATGATACGTTACAGCTTCTGTTCGCAAACGTTTTACAAGGAAACTTGTTAAACATACCAGAAAGCAGAAACTGGTCAACCGGAAGGAAACTGAGCTGCTTGGAACTGCCTCAAAACAGGCTTATAATATTTTTACGCTTGTATCCACAGTTATTCTTACAGATGGTGCTTAATAGCTCAGCAAGAGCTCCCGTGACTGTTCTTGCCAGTGTCGTTTTTGCTCCTGATGGAAACGATTTTATCTTGAGTTGTATCACAGCAAACTGTGTGATACCTAACTTATTGTGTTAAGCAACAAAGTGTACTACTTCAGTGGAGGATTTTCAGGAACCCGCTTCTCCTATACTTTCAAATAGTTTAATTACCAGTCCCTTCTATGCTTGTATAAGAAACCACTTGATATCATCCAAATTATCCTGGGCAGTGAGGTACGAATGACGACGGAGCGATGGGGAGATACGTCCACCAGTCCATCACGTTTTATTTGAAACTAGCCAACAGCAGGAGGAATGCAATGCTGTTGCTTATCGGTTAAAGGTTACGTGTGATGTCAAACCGAGGGCGACAGTGCCACATAATTAGCTACTCCTTTGCAACTGAACAGAGCGATTGTGATCAAGTGAAAACGAAAGTTTTGNCTGACTACTGTGCACAGCTATGTATTACTTCGATGCATCCATACCTTCTGAGGACAGATGACTGATGCATTTAGACGGCTGAGGATAAACAAGCAAATTAGCATAGAAACTGTTGGTGGTGTAGTTGATTCATGGTTTTCGTTGGCTAATGCACGAAGCTGTACCTTCCGTGAAAAAGCTGTATCGTAAGTCACCGGGTAGTTTTGGGAATATCACAATCTGAATTGAAACGAAATGCATTTGCACTCGACTCAAAGCTTACACATACAACAACTTACCATACATCTTGCCTTCTTCTGATAGGATGATTTTCCTGCGACCACAGGGAGGATAGATAGCCAAAGCTTCTTGGAAACATTGTTCTATATCCATGGACCACACTCCCTCTACGTCCGCTGTACTCGAATTATCCTGTCCTTCCCCATCCGAACCTGAATTACTGACATCATCTCCAAACTGACAATCCGATAATCGAGAAGGTGGTGTTGAAGGAGCAGGTCGTTTTCCAGTCCTCAAGGGTACTCCCATACTGGATGTGGTTACAGGCAGTTGCAATAGTCCATTTGTTAGTGAAGTCGCCTGAACGCTGTTATTATTACTGCCGTTGTTTTGTGCGGAAGGGAAATTCATTGGAGAGACTTTCAGCGCTTGCAGGCTAGTTGTATCGTACAATGTTGGGGAGATTTGCAGACTGACCGGCCTTGATGAGTTCACAAGTTCTGTATCGCTCAGGTAGACAGCACGTCTCAGAGCTAACTCGTTCTCATGCTTCAAAGCGGATTTACAATTGGGTAATTCGTTGGTCTGAAGTGAGAGACCATGTGATTTGAGCTGGCAGGTTTCTGTATTGGTCAATCCGGAGCTTTTATAAACGGGTTCTTGTTTAAATATTTCCATGAAGAGCACTTGTTGACGATAAAGCCACAGCTGCTACTTCCAGAAAGGGATACAGCCGTCACTAACCACTGAAATAAATGAGAAAAATTTGTTTGAGTTAGAAGTTCAAAATGCAGCTATTCACATTGCGTCCTAGCCTTTAAATCAAGTACGACGCAAATGGGATTAATCAGTGCAACCCCGGAAGAGGTCGTGACAACATGTCTCATTCGGATTGGATAACTGATGTCGGATAACCTTTCAAGGAACGCCCACAGTCAAAAAGCGCACATCAGTCTGAATGTATCGGAGTTGGCTATGTGGTTTGATAATAGGGGACCGGGAATTTGATCAAAGGTCAGTCATATTTTTCATTTGCTCTTCTCCCACACGACTGTTCACCACTACCCTTCTGTCCACCCCAGTGTGCATGATCGAGAGTTGGAATGTAGATCACGAAAGGGTCTTGGTGATTCCAGTGTGACATATCGGGAATAATAGTTAACTAACAAAGCAGGCGACGCTGATAATGAACGACAAATTTCCAAGGCGGATTGAGTGGTTTAGTTGAAAGTTGAATGAGGTATCCGAAGACAGTCCACACTGTTATGTGCAAGAAGAGTTAAGACAGATATCCACATGATGTGCACAAATGAGTTCATCCATCTCAGCAATGCTGGGAGAGGACAACATACTGATGACAAATCCCTGATAATAGCTGAGACTGGAGGGATAACCAATTAGCTTGAATGATAGAAGCGAGGACCAAAGGTTTTCAACTTATGGTGTATCTGTTTCCAGTGTATACAGGGGGTTAGACTGCGTTATTGTCTTGTTTTCATCGTTCATTTTGAAGCTTGTGATCTACATTAAGTGTGTGGTCAAGCGAACAACCAATCTATATGAACAAGACAAGTTCAGACGTGAATGATTGGTTGTGTCTGGTTAGCGAAAGGCTGAAGGCACGTGAAAATCCATTCAGGGGTGTCTGGAAAACATAAACTCGAGTTTTTAACGAGAACTACAATTTTAAAGGCCTGGCGCTATCACAACATCACGTTCCAGTGGACGTCCATCAGACGAAATTGAAAATATTGGTGCAATGTATGCCGTAACATTGAGTTTTAATGAGTCAGAGCATCGATCACCAGTCACCAAAAACGGAAATCACACTCAATAGGACATGATTTCAAAAAGACTGATACGTGGACGAAACCATAAACTAGAACGACGGAGGGTAGAACTGGAACGATAGAGGGTAACTTTGTGACTGCTTTTGGTCACACTCGGACACAATATTAAAAAGACAAAATACAACGCAATCTGAATCAGGATGGAACTCAACTGTCCAAACTCAGGTTGTATCTTGTTAAAAATACCATCACATCATACGAGAGTCACGTGGTTCTATCAGTTGACTAGCTGACCACGTGTGCACTGGTGCCTGTGCGAATCACTTTTGAACACCAGTCTGAGTGATGAAACCTTATCGCGATTTACTATATGGTGGCCAGAGCGATTATTCCAATAGACGTCAACAACTTGATGATACCTGGCACGTCTGAAAGCGATTGCCGCGTTCGCATGGTGACGAGCCTCTAGTAAACTGATGAAGTTCAAGCTGGTAATGGTAGAGCCTGCCTCACTCCAAAAGGTAATTTAAAGTTTCAGAAGAGTTCGCTAAACAATCGGAAGTTTTTATTTGGGCAACGTTTCGCTTTCGACACAAAAGCTTCATCAGGCCAAGTCAAGTGTTCTTAGCAAGTAGAACTTCAGGGTAACGGAAGCTCTGTGGCTGTGCCCAGCTGAGAAGGGCGAAGGCGGTTGTGAACTGTCGATGAGGTTCCAACAACTTTATGGGCAATATATTACGTCAATTCACTCTGTTTACCGCTTCGTAAGAGTTATCTTTTGAATCAAAAGTCCGTGATTACGAATATTACAACCGTGACTTGGTATTCAGCCACCTGCATTGGTCTACACGTTAGACAATTATTTGTCGATAGAAGGCACCTACAGTACTTTTTCATAAAGGAGACTTCTCACAAGTTTGCTGAAAACTCTTCGACAGACCACGACCAGTTTCGCCTTTGTTGGGACTCATCAGGTAGGCGCAGTCCTCGAGTTTTCGTCAACCTTATGTTCTACTTGAACAAGGGCGAAACCGGCCGTGTGCTGTCGAACAGTTTTCAGCAACCTTGTGAGTAGTTTCCTTTATGATAATATACTGCGATATCTCGAATATCGTGCCAACTGAATCATGAGGCGACCTGTGTGCAACACATTTAGTTGTAGAATATCATAAACGAGAGATTCAGTTGAGTCTCTCGTGAAAGCCAAATTGATTTGCAAATTAGTGTATTTCACCTGCAGTACTGTGTTATCCAAGGTTCAGTCACATAGACTGTGACTGTTCGAGCATTTAGCCCGTGGTTATCAACTACTTAAAGGTCTCACTAGGCGCGCTGCCTTCTTTTATGTGTATGTTTTAAGCATTTACGGAGCATGCTTCTTGATGTGTTGGCGTAAACTCGTGTAAAGTTCATCCAGACTGCCCTCCTTTGGATGAGGTATTGTCGCATGTTACAGATATGTCAAACGTGCCAAGGTTATTCAAATAAGACCGTTTGAGATTCCTCGTGTTGACACGCACAAAGTCGCATGAATTACCGGATAAAGATGAAAATACGCACATGCGGATATGGAACTTAGCTTTCGGATTATGACAATGTATAGAAATTAATGATTTAAACCCTTCAAATTCACGGAACTTCGGAAGAGTTCCCATAATATAACTTGGAAGACAGAATAGATAGGGAAAATAGCTTTCATTCCTTGTCGCTGCGCCGGACTAGAACATGCTTATTGAAGATAATCAATGTACTCAGTTGTAACACATTACTAATCATAACATAATTAAATGGTCCTAACTTGACGCCCGTGAGGATCGTTTTTAAACATAAATTTCAGACGGAAAGAACATTTGCTGCCCCGCATGCTGCATGCAACCGTAGTCTGTGACAATTTCTTTGACAAGGTGAATCTCTTAAAATGAAAACCAGTACATCCACGTCCTACCACCGACTGCGTTAACTCTCGCCAAATTGGATTTATGAGATTAACATCCTTACAGTAAAGGACAACAACAGAGATAGACGTAGATGGAAAGACACATTCGGGTAGAGTAGTCCGAGGAACGGCTTTTGGCCTGGGAAGGCTTAAGGCTCGAATTCCATAATGTTGGTTTGGTGGGTCAGTGCAGTTTTGATGGAACTTCCTATTAGTTGAGGGAAAGCCATATGCTGTATGATGAACAACCAAGTTACAAGCTGAGAGAAACCAGTGTTTTCCCCTCAACAACGCTGAACAACCAGGCTGCAATAGTATCCATACCGGTATGAATCCTTAGAGGTTTCTCGGAGTTGATATACATGTTTCGAATGGCAAAGAAAAGCCAGGGCGTTTTGAGAAATAGATGCAGCTTTCTAGCTGACCAGCCGTTGAGCAAACAACAACACAGGCGCCATGTTAGCCACGTACTATGCAAGAAGACAATCAACAAGGAAGGTGTCACTGCTAAAATACGCCTATTTTTACAGTGAAGCACTCGGCGATGCAGAGTGAACCTGAACAGGTGAAGAATGACGGATATTGATAGAATGGTAGCACACTGCATATAATGTGGGGGAAGTTCATAAACCCTCTCCCAAAGCAACTGAAGACTGGAATGTGGCTTCACACACTCCCTCACTTAGAGCCACAAACCCGGTTCTGTATCACAGCAGTAAGATTATCGCAGTGTTTTGGCTTTCACGTATCACGACCTTCTCGGATCATACATGTGTGATCACATACTATATAGACTGAAACGTACTAGGAGGAGGGGCGACCGAAAATTGCACCTATGTCAAGAAGATAGTCGGGGAACCTGATCGGATCACTCCGTAGCGTGCAAATGTACTTTAGAAGGGATAATGTCAACAGACTGTGACCTTGAACCTATCGTATGAGACTAAACCTAGTGGGAGCACTTTTCAATCGGGTGAATAGTCGGACAGAGCTCACGACAAGGTGGAAAAATTAAGCTGTGGACTAGAGTAGTGACAATGGCTCTCGCCAAAATGTTCCGAAAATTCTGAATCAACCATGATCTTCCAAACCCCCAAAAAAGTTCAAAGCACTTCAATATCGTTTCTATAGTATTATTCACATCGACGGTAGGTAGTTTCTTTGAAAGTATTTGGCGAACCCAAGTAGTTTTGAAGTTTGGACTGCTTGATTATTGATTTCATAGGCACCGGTATGGGAGAAATAGACTTTGATGTATTGAGACAGATGTCGGTGACGACAGGTATCGGATAATCTGACCCATAATTTTTTTGTACGCCACTCATGTTTCCTGCCGGCTAGTCAGCATACTTCGACTATAAGTTTTGCTCTGAATAAGCCCCGGTCGATAAGTTAAGCCATCTGGCTAGCTTCGAGGAACCACAAGTTTGTATAATATTCACATGGACTGGCAGTTTAACAAAAGAATAGCCAAAATTTGCACACGTCTAGAAAGGCCATGCACAGTTTGGACTTCCTCCTGTGGAGAAACGTTGATCTATGCTGAGGGGCCAAAAGGCTGTTTTTACTAAATGGGAAACAGCTTACGTTAGTCTCGAATGATAAATACTTTCGGAAGAAAAACTGAGGAAGTTTGGACAAATCTTTTGGGGATACCCCTCACGATGTCCTTTGGGAGGATGAGCGACAATAGGATTGGCTTGAATCCGAAACAGATCTCCAGAATAATGATGACTTTGCCCATGAGTCAAAATTCAAGCGGTATGCAGAAGGCCCATGGTGATACTACCGTCAGTAAACCAGAGGGAACCAGATAGCCGGGAGGGGGCTTAACATTGCTGGCTCTAACCAGCTGTCCAAACCATAACGATCATGAACCACGATAACTTGTTTTGTGAAATGCGTCACACACGTGAATGTCATGCATTTTCAAGCAATGCTTACTGAACGTGTGCGTTTTCTTCACTGATAGCGACTGGCAGAATCCACTTGTCTGCCTTATAACCAAGCGATGCAAAACCATGTGCTATCATTACGAATGTGAACTGACTGAGTGTGAGAGTGCACCTTCAACTGGTGAATATGTTTGTAAGCGAGAACTGGTTCCGGGCATGTCAGTCCTTTTGTAACGCGCAACAGTACACATTGATAAAACACGCACTCAGTTCATCATCATGGTGACGCAGTATGTTGTAGGCCTAGTTATGTTGTTTTTCTGCCTCATCAAGTTTATTTATTACGTAACTTCTGGTTTGATTTTAGCAAAATTTTAGGCTAATTTGGATGAGTTCCCGCACTCTCCGATCGGTCGTTGACTCTTCTTTAATCTGGACTACTCCAAGAGGACATGATTCTATCAGGAAAATGTAACCTCGAAGTACTGACTTTAAACAACTTGACTCCAAGCTGGTCATTACAAAAGACCTCTGACTCTCTACCTTTAAACTAGATGAATGGTTCACACTTGAGCAGAATACCAAGGCTTATCAACGAAACCCTATTATCCTGAATGCTCCAATGACACATGAAATCCCATCGAGAACAACGTACGCAGTGGCTGCATTTTGAGCCTTGATTGGACTCCAATGACACAATGATATTTTATTCATGAAATCCCATCGAGAACAACGTGCGCAGTGGCTGCATTTTGAGCCTTGATTGGTTTTTTCTCGCAACAACGACAAAAACTAACAGGACGTCATTATGTCTGAAATCGTCATTAGTAAAATTTTCAAATGGGATCTATTACTCATTAAACTCTAGTTTGCCGGTGGACTGGGTATGACATTCACTTTTGCAGCTGTGTTTCCGCAGTGCGAATAGCATTAATATACTTTCATTGGTCGTCCAAGAAATAATAACTATTGGATTACTGACGTCGGACAAAACGTCGTGCATGTTCCACGTAGCTTTATTCACTTCATCCCAATCGTCTTTGTCGAAGCCAGGGGACGGAAATTATGTTCGGTATCATTTTCATGTATACTTTAATTTGGCTAAGTTTTGGTCAACTGAAAGTTGAGACGTATCGTCGCCATCGGTGTACGCTTCCTTCACACGGTGAATTTTATCATATGGGAATGATTTATGACTTCACTATTGCAGCGCCGTATTTTGATCTGGTCAACCGAATAATGAAATTTTTGGAGAGGCCACAGTAAACATCGCAAAAAGCGATCATTGAGAGAGTGAACGACTTTAGTACTAGGGTGGAACTTTCAAGGTAATTTTATTACAACTCATGCTGGTGCATTATGACAGGTAAGAGGGTAGGAACTCTGCAGGAATGCTACCGGTATATGGCTTCAGTTTTTTGGCAGACAGACAATGAAAAAATAAAGAACTCGGCAGATTTAAAACCCTCGCCATTACGCACATCCAAAATACCTTACTCCTATCCGCACATGAAGTTCGGCCAAGGACTGAGGACTACACCATTAACTGCTTCGGTACTGACGAGATCCATCAATCAGCTACTTTGAAAATGTAACCATTGATTGGTCCACAAGTGTCTGGAACTTGCGGCATTCACCTGCATTCTTCCAAAGCCAAAGAATGGCATTTTGGGATGTGTCGCCTACCGAACTTTTTGCGGATGATTTTGTGCAGACCGATTCGGTACCATTTACCGAATCAATAATTTTGACTGGGTCAGAGCCGATCACAATGTTCTGTCCTGAAATCCTCCTTTCATGACCATCACTTTTCGTACCCCTCAAGCTGCTTCAGACGCCCCCCCCTGAGACTGATATGTGAGATAAGAGGGATGCTCTCTGTGCTGCGTGTGATGACGTTATGTATAGTTCAGCCTATACCATTCTGCTTAGGAAAATCAACGTCTTTCTGAATAGATTCTTGGCAAGGAGAGGACTTTTCAATACAATTTTGACCAAGCATCTGCTGAAGGGGAATCCAACTATACTAAATATTTCCTGGTAAAACTGTCTTATAATGGACCGATGTGTACTTTTATGTGACAACAATAACTGTTAGTTTGTGGTAAGCATTGGTATTCGGTTTCCCGCTAAGGTTGTGTGCCATACAGTTAGGAATAGAGCAAACTGTTTTGATGAAGCATGGCAAACTCCATGAAAGTTAGCATGCATGCCTTTCGCCTTAAACAGCGCTTGCCTAATTATACAAAATATCGAGTGCTCAAGAGTTACTTATGTATTTCCTCCTCTAGGTCTACCGATAACATGCCCTACATAAGCTGATTTGCTTTAAGCAATTCATTTTGGCTCATTTTTAAATAAAGATTTGTTGCGAGATTCAGCGGAGCTTTGTCAAATCTTCGGAGAAGCCTGGTTGTCATTCAGGAAACGTTATGCGAAATTGAAATCGTTTGATTTTAGTTTGTTGAGTTTTGTTGTTTTGTTGAGCGTACTAACCCAGGGCGTTTTAAACCATTTTTGCTCACTATATATCCTGGTTGCACTGCGCATATTTGAAGTCCAATAAGTATCTACTGGAATAAACCGGATGTGAACTCTCCATTCGGGTTATCTTCCATGGACCCAAATGTTTGACTGAATTTAGGTTTACCCTTCGTCATTCTATTCGGGTTGAAAAAATCCCCAGTTAAATTTTATCTGCGTTGTGAGGATAATACTTTTATCAGACTAAAGTAGAATTATTTGGCCCATCTTCTGTATGATACCTATCTAGATGTGATGAAATAGAATATTTAGATGCCCTTTGCTAAGGCTTTGCTTTGATCCTGTTGATTTCAACATGGCGTAAGATTGGTCCATCACTCATGTGTTGTAGTTGACAATTAGAGTTTCCGAGACGCTGAGGCGAAGAAACACTTGGAACGGTTGACTCCGCCAACGTTAGCAACAGGTCGACACAAGTATTTCAAATTGCATGTTGGGTGCCCAGGCTTAAGCTCCTAGTTTCGCTACAGATTACAGACTACTTGTGACAGTGGTGAGGAAAACTAAGTTCATGAATCGCCTCTTTCAGGTCTATCATTTTCTATTTCATTTTGGATGGACAAATCACAGATCTTAAGGAAGCTGAGGAACGTAAGATATGCCAAGCATTGTGAATAAAGAAGTTAATTTAGGCGTGGTTGGAAAAGTACCAGCTTTTAGTTTATAGAAGTGTACGCGGTCACAGATCTTACGGAAGCTGAGGAACGTAAGATATGCCAATTATTGTGAATAAAGAAGTTAATTTAGGTGTGGTCGGAAAAGCACCAGCTTTTAGTTTATAGAAGTGTACGCGAACAACTTTCATATAATTATCATTTTGTTCGACCAAAGAAATCACTCCCAGTAGCAAATGAATGCGTAACTTGAACAAGATAGATTTATACGTTTAAGTGTATAATCAAAATTGGTGAATTTGCTGTGGTAAATTAAAAGAAAGGCAAATAATGCTACAGGTTACTCGAATTGTACCTCAACAAAACGACAACTGTGACAAAAAGTGGCTACCAAGGCTTCGGATGGCCTAACTGAGTGACGACTACCGACCGGGAGGCTAGTTATAACAGACCTTACTCTGTTTGATCTTCTGAGTGATGAAAAGCCCCTTTCATGAGTCAAACTAACTAGGTAACCAGATACAGTGGCTCAGCATGCATTCTCTCCTCCAAGTCTCGAAAAGCAATGAGGAACATGATAATAAAAGCTGTTTTGAGTAAGGGATTGACCGTAAATTGTTGAATGCTCTGTGTTTTAATACCTGTTATTAGATACACCTATGTAAATGGTGCCCACTGACATTGGTTGGACCACAGAATGTAACATTCGTGAGTAAAGACGTGAACACTTCATAGTATACAATATGGTTGTACCCCAATTCGGTTGCTATTTAGCAGGAATTGTTGACTCCACTTCCATCCTTGCAGTAAGGCTTCCTAATTCTACCTTTGAGAATGAAGAGTATGTTGGTAGTTCCGGTTGTTGACATGACGCTCTTGTTGTTCGCTAAGCGTAGCACTTTGTTGCACTTGTCAAGCCTGACGAACAACTGACAGCTTAAGGCATCAGGCCTGCTTATGTTTTGATCTCTCTGAGCACCCAATGTATAGGAATTCAAGGGTTGTTCCACTCAATATTGAGTGGCGATTGGGCACTTGATCTACACGCAAAGTTATTAGGAGAATCATTCTTATCTACTTGAATCATGTGACTAGAAATATAGTAAACATGAAAACTACTTTAGTCTTGCCATGCTGAGATCTTTTCATGACCTTATGCCGTGGATGATTTTAATTTATCAGCGAAAGCCGTTAAGCAACAGTATGACTTCCGGGAAGAACATTACACAATATTGGCGAAGGGAACGAAAGTGATGTCGATATTGCGAAAAGCTTCGCAGAAGTCTTATTCTAATCAAAAAGGTTTGTGAAAACGTGGCGAAATTATAGAAAAGATGTCCTCGGAGTGCAAATATAGCGGATTTATTTGGATTCGATTGTTATACCAACAAGTGGCCGCCCAATGAGAACCTCCTAGGAAGAGCAGCACTGTAGTTGGTCTGAACAATTATAATGTTCACTCACATAAAACTTTCTTTTCAGCCAGATGTACTAGGGTGTTTCGACACAGTGTTGTTTTGATAGGCTTATCGCTGACATCTGGATAATGATTACACTAAAATCATAGTTTATGGTTGGTAAATGTGAGTGGACAAACATGTACATCTGCATATGTCATATTGGAAGCATGCGGAAATCTAGGACCTTCGAGTTGATGACCGAGCGTTTAGGAATATTATTTGTTCTAAAGGAGTAGAAAGTAGTAGTTCGCCTGAAAATAGAGCATAGTTATGTATCAAATCACTGTAAGCAGGAAAAGGCGACGGAATCCACAATTTATCGGAATATTTAGATAACGACATATGAAATAATTCTATGCCCATACTTTGGCGATTATTTGATGTGAGATCCACAAGAGTCTGGTTGGATTATGATGGGATCAAACAACAGTGATGTACCGAAGTTTCCTGCGGGTGATCAACATCAGGTGTGGAATAGCCATTCGCGGTTGCCGAGACGCCAAACGGTCAATCTCCGCAGACTCGAGTTGTGTTATTCCATCATTATTTAACCAGGCCTTTGCCTGAACAATGTTAATGGTCTACGATGTTTCAAATGAAAGCAACTCTGCCTTTTGTAGCAGACAATTCTGCCTTTATTGTAATTTTCTAGTTGGTGATAAAATGAGTTATTCACATCATCTTTTGTTTACTGGTTTCAGTAAGTTAACTGAAAACTTAGACCAACTAACTAAATGTGGAAAGAAAAACAGTCGTTGTGTACCTTACTGAGTTTCACTTACGTAACCCATCGTCCGCAACGCGATGTTGCAGTGCCTAACCCTAACTCTGCCTGAGGGGACTCGCCAGTCTTAAGGATGATTTGCTTTCCGCAACCAAGTGTGTCTAGGGTTTCAGGTAATCAAACATTACTGACGCAAAATAGGTTAAGCAGACTACCTGACTCGCCAGTCATAAGGATGATTTGCCTTCCGCAACCAAGTATGTCTAGGGTTTCAGGTAATCAAACAGTACTGCCGCGAAATAGGTTAAGCAGACTACACTCTTGGGTCATTTCATTCAATCGGCAAGCAGGTTGTGGGCAATATTATCCAAAATGCGACCGACTGAATCAGATCTACAGAAATGTAGTCTCACATTTCAGTTTTGGGGTAATAGCAGCGTTGAATAACAGTGTTCGGCAATTTGTGCGATTCTTAATTATCTCCGGGTTACTCGTGCCAAAACACCACTTCCTGAGACTGCTGAGTGCTGGATGGCAAAACGTCCATCTACAAAAACAAATTATTGTAGGCTTACTTGGTAGAAATCCTGAAACTGAGAAGTTGATTAGCGGACTGCATGAACTCAACCTGAGTAGTGTCTCGGTCAACCGTTGTTGGCCGATTTTTATTTCTAGTCAAAAAGAGAATGCAGTAAATCCATACAAACCCATTCCCTAAATTACATTCTACGTTCAACCTATAGTTAGGTGTTTGCTTAAATCCAATATCTATTATCAGTCACTCATTCACCCCTTTGCCCCTAGTTCAACTAGAATTAACAACTTCTTTTTCTGAGTGCTCCTTATTACGCCGAAAAGAGATAAATTCGTCCCTATCAAATGCAATTTGTGATCATATTCTCCAAATCAGTTGGAGCTTTCATAGCTTTTTAAAGTGATAATATCTTCTCTCTAGTTCGCTCCAGAATGGTGCCTCAGAATCAGCTTCTATGTTGGGCAGCTCCTTAGGTCTACGGGACTTGAAACTGGCCAATAATATGTTTACTAGCGCGCACAAATACCTTTCGGTTTCTCAGGATTATCATGTAATCTCCACCGTGTCAATCATTTGGTCCTAGAATATTTGCCGGTAAGACAGATACCGAATAATCTTCAGAACTCAGCCTTCTGGGCGATTGGTATTGAAAATTCTGACAAAATTTTTCATGGCTTAAGAATCACAGTTTTCGTGCGTGATGGGCTCGCTTGGCTAAATTTAAGTGTATGGGACTGATATTTGGCAGAGTCCTGGTCTTGTGAAGCCCACTGATCTCTCCACAGTACTGACAACCATTGCTTGAATGAAGGCTTCTTAAACAGCCGACACGTTTATGTACCTCCTGTAGAATGCCAACAAAGCGGTTAGACCACTTTCACCGTTTTGTCGTTTTGTCATCAATCCTCTCAAGGTATCGTCGGTTGTTCACATGCTTGCGGACAAAGGAACCAGGCGGAGCAATCGGACTAACAACCTCCGACGTTCTTTGAATCCTGGATGACTGAGTCAGTAACTAAAGCGCGGACCTTTTCAAATTTATCCGACGTAGTTCGGCTAACACTAACCTGAAAATTCACCCAGTTTAAGTTCCTCTTTCTTCTAATCCTTCATGAGCCGTGAAGCAGACTTGCTGAAGAGAAATCCATTAGACAGTGGCCATTCAGAAATTTCCTTACTTCAATTAGGCGACCAAGGCCTCCATTAAATCTATAGTCCACAGTTAGAAGGACGACAGCGATGTGTATATAATTAAAAAGCGATCGCATATCAAGTAACATCAACCACCAAACCACCTCAATCACACTCGAAGGACAGTTTAGTGCACCCTGTTCCGCATACGCGAGTGATCATGTTTCGAGGCAGTTGCGATGACTTGAGGAATCATTCTCTTTCACATGTCATCAATAAGTTCACTCCCAGTTGCAGTAATTCCTATATCAACGTCTTTCTTAAAAGATTTTGAAATATGTTCCAAATAAATTGGCACAGAATGTGCGACAAGACGGCTCAACACTTCTAACAACCAAACTGAAATGGAGATTGTCGATTGTGAAACATACTTCTGGGATGGGCCATTAGGTTGAACGTACTCGTTTCATCTCCGTCCTGTTACGATCTTGTTCAAGCTCAAAAGGCGAAAGTTCTTCCAAATTTTTCAGACAAACTTTTGTTTTGCACGTAAGTCGGATTGCACATAACTGACGATACACATTCTAAAATACACTGGTGCCAACAGGAGACTCCTAAGTGGACATTTCAGCTGAACTTCGATTTAACAACAGTATGACTTGTATATGAACAAACTTCATCTGTTTGGTTAATTTTTCCTACAGTAGACCGCTTGGTGACATATGTTGCTTAAGACACCGATAGGTCAATATGATAAGTACAGAGCAACTGATGGACTGAAGGTTTCAGAGGTAATCGGGGGATAATTTTGTCTAGCTATTGATGAGAGCTAATATGGCTGAGGACGGTTGTTGAATGAACGTAGAACAGGCTTTGAAGACAATAGCACTCACTTCACCGGCGGTGCTGCCATCGGTAGGGATACAACTACAATTCCATGCAGATTTTACAGTCTGTAATGGTATACCAAACTTGAAAAGGGGAAGCGTCCGCAAATGTACGAGTTTGGAGACGTCAACCACTCCTGAGTGACGAGTACTGGTTGCATTTGTGTTGGGTTAAGCACATGACATTCATTGTGATGAATTGAGGACGACCTCAAACGCAATAATGACGCACTGACGATCGGTGCTAGACCGCATGCTTGACAGCCAGTTGAACTCCTCCGCTCGATTAAAGTTTTGGGGACATTTTTTGAGTAACAAGCTCCAAGGCTAGCAGGAGTAGTGCATGAACATTGAATTGTCATTTGGGATATTGTCACCACTACGTACGCTGTTGCTCGGATTAGTCCTCAGAACAGGAAAGGCCTATGTAGGTCACCACACAAACCCCAAGGTTTGGGCTGCCGCGGATGTCCACGTTTTTGTTTGCATGCCGTTTTATTGTATTGTATCATGTCCTAGTTTTTTATGCGGAACTACATTACTGTGTGATGCTTCGTTCTACGCTGTCTCTTGTGGCAAAACACAAATGACCCGCTTTATTACAGTGGGTCTTCCGGAGCTTACAGCGATGCTAAAAGTGACTGTGACCATCGTTGTGCAGAACATGTTGATTTTCATCTAATATTGGCTAGCGCGGTCTGTACCTTGGTTGAGTGATCTGGGTCTTCAGGATACTGTCTGCATTTCCTAAAGTTCTCGACTGACACTTATGGGCTGTCAGCTGGACATTCCAGGCTGCTCAGCCCACGGTCTTATTCATTCCGGTTTACACCACGCCTTGCTAGTGGCTCGTGACAAAGCTCACGTGACTGCGACTATTGTTCGCGGAAGGTTCGTTGTGGCAGGCATATTAGGAAGACGGGCCAACCCACCAATAACGTCTTACGTAAGTTCAAGTTCAAATGTCTGACAAACGTGTTCCGAGAAGAAATTCAACAAACAACTACTTTACAGACAGTGAACATCTTTCAGCTAACAAAAGTGGTTGAACAGCTTGCCAAAATTTCACTATTCAGAGATTCTTACACTAAATGTTTGCATTTGTGGGCAAAAGGTAAAGAATTTCAGTGTACCTATGTACACTTTATCCGTAACCTTTGTGATAGGTGCATCACAAAGAAAACAAGCAAAAACGTTTTGGTAAAAAAGTGTCTCATTTTATAGTTGGACGGTGTTTTCGATGTCTGACTATACTGCGATTGAGGCAAGAAAATAAATCGCAGTAACGCCTAGCGAAGTAGAGTCAACCAAGCACTCATAGGATGAGTCAGTTTGGGCTGACCGAAGCACGCTATTCCCGTAAGTACTTCTTATGGAGAGAGTGTCGTGGCACTTTCACTCATGTCCATTAGCTTGTATCAATTTGCACTAAAGTCATGAGAACTTGGCAAAGCAAATTTATCTTAGAAGCAATCGATGAATACAGCGCTTCATATAGATTTTAACTTCATGGAAACATGCAGCTTGAATAACTGCACTCAGCCAGGTTTATATGTAATGAGACTTAAAACTCATGTAAAAGAAAAGAGCAGGAATTGCAATATAAACAAAGTATATCTATGCCATTCCTGGATAGCAAGTAGGGCAGGAGTCTAAGCTTTTACCACTAACAAAGACGAACAGAATCGGTTTATCTGTAAATTTCTTTCACTGATATGAACCCACATGTCATCAGTTGGACATGTCCCGTTATTCGGCATACTTGTAGAGAGTAAAACTGTGTTTTACTTGAAGCGGAAGTGCCCTTAAAGAAACCATAAAAATGTGAATAAAATTGAAAAACTTGGCTGTTGAATATTGAGGGCCAAATCCTCAAAAGCGGTTAAGCACTGGGAGTCAAACAACAAGATGTAAGCACCGTCTATATTCGCGAAAGTGGAATTCACCTCTGTGCTAAAAAACGACTTTTGTTCACTAAAATTCATCAATTTATGGACCACGAAGGCTCAGAGGTTGCTAGGTTTACTAAAAAAAGTACTGCATTGCAACTCAACGACTCTATTTTCGCTCATTTTCCAACACAGCACAATGGTTATTCATCCATACATTCGACAACCCAGTCAAGACTGTCGTAAATCCCCCTTGGGACACAGCTTGGAATAATCATGCACACAGTCCCACTTGTGCAACCAGCGCCGCCCAGTCAACATACCACAACATAGACACATGCAAGGGCACGTGAATGCCTTCGCAAAAAAATTTAACCTTGTAAGTGTGGATAAAAAATTCCACGAATTTTTCAAGTCATTTTTGGTGGCTGTTTAGAATTAGATCACGCACTCCTCTCCATGCAGTCGTTCACCAACTGATTTGTCTACCTCTTCATTCCTGAGGGACCAAAGTTCACCGTGGCGAATACGGGGCTAACTAGCTGGTCTACTAACACCAGTACTTACCGCGAATAGTTCGAATAGTATTGTGACGCCGACGCGTTCCTTCTAATGTCACATTAGAGAGTATACCAGTGTAGAGGAGCACACTGTGGAAGTGCGGCACATTCCCCGGTGGGATAGTTAATCGATTTGCACAGGTCACCCGAATGCTCAGTTGACTTGTATATTTTGAGCAGTATCAACAATCCAGCGCGCGTGCTGCACTCATAAACGGAATTGTGGTGTTTGTTTACACCAAACGAGAATGAGAGTGTATGGTTGATGATTACTGCCTGAGGTATGGTGTGTATTCAGAAGAATGCCAAGAACGAAGCGATCAACCGACCAAGAAGATTGGAGCCGGAGTCTGGTGTGTGTGCACTCACATGTATGTGAATATCCAACATACCCGCACGCCAGCACAACATTACACTTTCTGTGCGTGCAGATTGCTACACTTGAGTAGTATACCAATAACTACCAACAGTACTATACAAAGTTGAATGCACTAAGTTGCAGACTCAGCGAGGTGTGCTTGCACACACACACACATACGTGCACATCTTGATGTACACATGCTGTATGAGGGATTGTTGTCACTGCCAGCCTGATCGATCTGCGCTTGTCACGGATCTGCTGCCGCTGCTACTACTACTACTATTGTGATTCACCAACTGGTGAGAGTGCAGAAGTGCTCATAAAATTTCAATAATTTCAAGAACACTGCTTTGGTTCGTTCAGTCAGAGGTGCGCGTGCGCACGCTACCACATAACTGCAGTAGATTTCAGAGTAGACGTAGGCTAGCATTCACGCATAATAATTTTTTATGGTAGTAGTAGTCGTAGTGTCAGCGTCAACTATTAAGAGGACCACAAAAATGCATGTTGAAGGTGAAGCTCACGTTTGTAATGTTGAATTGGATGAATGCGTAAATAGTATTACGTACATCAATCAGTGCGCACTCCCAATTTTGAGGTTGATTTCTGGATAGCAAACATTTTGTTTTTGGTTATCACTTCATTTCAAGAGATCTGAACAGGCATGATTACTGCATCACGCAGCAATTCCTCTGACCCTTTGCTTATGTGGTATCTCAAAGAGGTTGATTTGTTAGTTGTTCTGTTAGTTTTTCTAAGGTAAACATCATCCAAGCCAGCACAAATTTTTATCTGAGTAAATGTTGCGGCTTAAATAAAAGCAGAACAACGGCAATCAGAGGGATATTATCTGCAAACAAGTTAACTGACATCCTAAGTATGTAGTACATTTTCCAGTGCTTTCAAACCGCATAACTCAAATGCCAAGAAATTTTTCATTATCATGCGAAAAAAACTGGTTTGAGAATGTTTTACTATGGTTCATCAAATATCAGCAAACACCAATGTTATTAACAACGGTAAAAATGGGTTATGTAGAGAACCAGGGTGGCTATCGTATATCAGGTGAAAGCTAAGGGTTCCTGAGGAAGAACGTGGACAGTATGTACCGCTCACGCTTTATTTACTCTGATGTACAGGCGTTCAGCAGAATACGGTAGACCAGATAAACCAGAGATGAACCAAGCAGGGACAACCATAGACGAGAATGACAGATAAACGCATCAGAGAAAAGTCATACACAATTACCCTATGGGTATTACTGAGAAGGGGTTAGTTTTTTACGCACTAACAGAAGACTTTGCATTAACAGTACATAAGAAGAGATCTGGAGATGATCACAGATTATTTGGGTATCAAGCTTCAGTGAGCATTATCATAGCGTATAGGATAGTCACGTGGATTGGACTAATCACGAGGTAGTTATACACGAGTAACAACCCATCAGTTTGTAAATGGGTTGGCTAGCATCCGAAACGGATCTGGGGTTCGGCAGCGGTTGATGCAGGACCCAAGAACACAGCGAGTAGTTCAATAGCTGTTCGCGAATCTGTAGACAGTACCACGGCCGAGTTGGTGGCACCGGTCTAAACCCATGGAATGAGATTGGCAGGTGAAAACTAAGAGGACTGCTGGAGTCCACAAGCTGGCATGGCCCAGTGAGATAACAGTGGCATGACACAAGGGTGAATATCAGCAGCAGTCTCAGTAGACCAGTGTGCTACTGTCACCACATGCTCTGTCAGTGTGTCGAAATATAGATAACTCGGGTGTGTTTACTGGTGGCTGATCAGATGACCGTAGAGACGTTCACCGAGTTTGGCAGTTGGCTTGCAAACGTTTCGTTCCCAGTCGAGGAGACATCGTCAGTGCGCAGTTGAGTGTGGGCCTGGCTGTGTTTATATGGTTTCTGAAGAGTGTCTAATATCCTGTCATGTTGGTTAATTGGTATATATCTTGGTTAATTGGTATATACCTTTCCTGTGGTATTATTGGCCCGATTGTGATCTGTGATGCGTTGTGGTCCGTATGTTTTTTGTCCCATCAGCTGGGTGGATGGCTGCTTTGGGGTTTTTCAGGTGCGTTTCCTATTGGTTCTTTCCCGGTCCGCGTTGCGTTGTGGTCTTTCTCCCTTCAAATTGCTTGGTTGTGATGGTGACTTTTTTCTTGGTAATTTCCTTACTTAAACCTGATTAGCCGCTTGTACTTCCACGCTTGATGTAGGTTTTTCTTCTCGTATTGGATAATTTGGTTGCAGTTGGATGCTCAATTTGTTGAGTTGATTGTTGTCCTTTTCCAGTTTGTCGGTTCAATGGTGTTCCGGGAAAGGGAATTGAGCCCCTCAATTTTTCGTTTTGTTTATTTAGAACGTTTCCAAGTCAGTGGTCAAACTCGGCAAGTGGAGCAACGACCATCTGATCGACAACAAGTAAACACACCCGAGCTACCTATGTTCCGACGCACTGACAACTAATTCGGGTGTTGTACTCTGAAAACAGATCACGGATGGGAGACTTTTGCCTTCCATCAAGTCTCCACAAGATAACAACTGCGCCTCTTCGATGAATGTATGAGAAAATGTTTCTTTCCTTTTAGCGTAACCTGTCGACAACCACTGAATCATCCTTAAGCTTGGATGTCGTCCGGAGAGAATGGTAAGTCAGTGGTCAGGCTAATGATTACAGATGCAGATAATCGAGAGCGCAGTCAGCGAACATTAGGCAGCCTGCCTGGAGATATTGTGACACAAAATTACGCAATATCTCAGCATTGCAGTAGAACTAACAGTCAGATCCGGCGCCGAAAACAAGAAAACGACTTGAAAAGTTCACTGGGTTAGTTGGTATACGAAAAGAGAAAATCAACAACAATACTTAGATAGAGGACCTCTCCAACAGACACTTCATGGAAGCAAAACAGAATGTTTTGAGCGGAAGACTCGATTTCAACNTGGAAGCAAAACAGAATGTTTTGATCGGAAGACTCGATTTCAACATCAAAGACACCGCAAACCTAAAGTAACTAGCCAGTCTAGAGGAAGTTATGAAGACACTCAGAGACATCTCCGCCAAACCGCACTCCAGGCCATTACACGCAACATAGCGTTCAGTACCCTGTCAAGCAAAGAAAAAAGCAATGAACAAGCTAAAATGACGACGCAAGCATCATTCTACCGACTGACAAGGGACGCGCGAGAATAATCATGGACAAGCCGGACGACAGCCGGACGAAGCAGAAGCTCTATTGAACGACACGTCTACCAATCACCGCGTCAATAATTACCAAAGGAAATAACCTGCAAACATGTTCAACAGAAAGCCGAAGAAACACCAATGGCCTTAAGGGATCACAAGAGAGGAGTACTGGAGAATGAGCGCTAAGTCCTCGGGCATTCCACGCTTCTACGGACCTCCGAAAGTGTGTAAAGAACCAACACTACCACGGCCAATCATAACACTCCCGGGGACTTCAACCCATAACTTGTCGAAGGACCTGTGGAAGAGATTGAAATATCTCATCAGTGGGTCACAGCACTCAGTCAACAACGCAGGGCAATTCTTGGAAAAACTAATAAACATGAGTGTCGAAGAGGATAAAATAATGGTTTACTTTGATGTAAACACGCATTTCATATCAGTAGACCTGGACACTGTCACCGAACTATTGAGCAGACATGGGAAATCACAATGGATCCCTGAAAAATGCGGACCACTGTGAATTGCTTAGCCCGTGCCTGACCACATATTTTGAGTTTAACGGTGAGTACTACAAACAACTACTGGGAGCAATGATGGAATCCCTGATTTTTGGATTTATTGCAAAATCTGTTATGCAAAAACTGGAACAACTCGTGCTATTGGACATAAATCCAAAGATATGAATCCGCTATGTCGGGAACACATGTCATCAGCAAATGGAGTGACCTTCGATGAACAAGTCAACCAATAAACAGCCTTCTTGATGATATCGACTTGACAATGGGAGAAGAAACGGATGGGAAAACTGGCGTTCCTGTGGTTCTCATCACAAGATCACCAAACACAACCTAGAAACTTCATCTGACAGACTCTCAGAAAGCCCAGTTTGGTCAGCCCAACAGCTCAAAGAGAGCTCGAACGGATCACATTTCCATATACCAGGAATATATCGGAAATGACCGCGCTGCATTGTAACACAACAGTATCCTACAAACCTGCAAGCGCCCTACGGAGAACACAATCAAACCCAAAGTGACAACTGAACACAATGTTGAGGAGCAAAGTCATGCACAAAAATGAGTGCGGAGATTGTGATAAATGCTACGTGGTACGAACAGGAAAGAAGCGCCCAACCAGAATACATGGACACAAACCTGCAACCAAGATGCACGACCAACTTCTACTCATCTTCGTGCACGAAGGTCAAGATGGACACAAACTTGACTGGAGTAATGGTTACGTATTGGCTCAGACGATAACAAAGAAGGGATGTCAATTCATTGAAGCATGGTACCCCATAAAACACATCGAAATCGACCAAGTCCATCGACCATTTCAAGCAGAAGAATTACAGAACTAGACAATGCAGAGAAGGAAAGACTAAAATAAATAACGAAAAATTGAGGGGCTCAATTCCCTTTCCCGGAACACCATTGAACCGACAAACTGGAAAAGGACAACAATCAACTCAACAAATTGAGCATCCAACTGCAACCAAATTATCCAATACGAGAAGAAAAACCTACATCAAGCGTGGAAGTACAAGCGGCTAATCAGGCTTAAGTAAGGAAATTACCAAGAAAAAAGTCACCATCACAACCAAGCAATTTGAAGGGAGAAAGACCACAACGCAACGCGGACCGGGAAAGAACCAATAGGAAACGCACCTGAAAAACCCCAAAGCAGCCATCCACCCAGCTGATGGGACAAAAAACATACGGACCACAACGCATCACAGATCACAATCGGGCCAATAATACCACAGGAAAGGTATATACCAATTAACCAAGATATATACCAATTAACCAACATGACAGGATATTAGACACTCTTCAGAAACCATATAAACACAGCCAGGCCCACACTCAACTGCGCACTGACGATGTCTCCTCGACTGGGAACGAAACGTTTGCAAGCCAACTGCCAAACTCGGTGAACGTCTCTACGGTCATCTGATCAGCCACCAGTAAACACACCCGAGTTATCTATATTTCGACACACTGACAGAGCATGTGGTGACAGTAGCACACTGGTCTACTGAGACTGCTGCTGATATTCACCCTTGTGTCATGCCACTGTTATCTCACTGGGCCATGCCAGCTTGTGGACTCCAGCAGTCCTCTTCGTTTTCACCTGCCAATCTCATTCCATGGGTTTAGACCGGTGCCACCAGCTCGCCCGTGGTACTGTCTACAGATTCGCGAACAGCTATTGAACTACTCGCTGTGTTCTTGGGTCCTGCATCAACCGCTGCCGAACCCCAGATCCGTTTCGGATGCTAGCCAACCCATTTACAAACTGATGGGTTGTTACTCGTGTATAACTACCTCGTGATTAGTCCAATCCACGTGACTATCCTATACGCTATGATAATGCTCACTGAAGCTTGATACCCAAATAATCTGTGATCATCTCCAGA